CGACAGACTGGAGACCTGTCCAGGTGACCCCGCCTCTCGCCTGGAACACAGCTGGAGAGGCACCAGCACCTCACGACCCGGTTAGGGAGAAGGGTGACCAGAAAATGGATGGAAAATATAAATATTTCCTGCTTATCTGTAGAACAGCTAAGGAGCTACTCTAACTTTTACAAATCAATTTGGGGAATATTTTTTTGAAGTCCAGATCAAGGGCACTAACAAGGGGAAGAAGTTTGAACCCAGATATGCAAATATCTTGTTGAAATAGAATTTGTCAAGAAAAATACGACATCATCCCACTTCCCCATGCTGGAGATTTTAGTTAACAGTAACAACAAATAAAGTTATCTTCAAAATAAGTCACACCAATCACATCTAGATCAAACAGTAGACCCAGACTGCAATAAAATAAATCTGGTGTGTGTTGTTTTGTCTCCTGCAAACTTAGCTTTCATTATACTTATTTTTTCTATCTAATCATAAGAAATCATAGTCAGAGAGAGAGATATGAGACAGGAAGAGCAGGTTTCCAGGAAAAAGAGGAAGTAAGTTTCCAGCTTGCAGCTGTATAAAAATAGCTGAGACTATTCCTTGTTTAAAAGCATAAAAGTTTCAAAGGATAAAATCTAAACATTTTGAGTAATTAGATAAGATTTCAAGTAAAGCACTTATATTAATATTGGGTACTTATAACAATACTTACTGACACTTGTGGAAAAAACGTACAAGTAAAACAAGTAACTGTAACTTTGGTACAAATAATAAAAGAGTAATAAGTTGTGATTATCATAAACTTATAAATGAATGCTAAATTAAAGAAACTATAGGTTTATGAATGTGATTTTAACATTGAACTTGAAATGGTGTAAAACATGTATCTGCTATTAAAGATCACTGATGATGTGTTGGAGGTAGATAGTAGGTGAAAGGTCAGGGGTCAAATGGGGACTAACGGGAAAGCAGAGACGACCAAGACCTTATTAGGAGATAGCTTGTTGAACAACTTATTTTGTGTCAGAGACATGGGAGGAACGTTGAGCAACCCGAGACATTAGCCAAGACCTCAGGAAAAATGTCTCTAAGGACAGTGATGGATATGAGTTCATCTGTCCAAACAGTTACCCAATAAAGCACAGCAACAGTGTTAGCCAATGAAAATGCACTGAAAGCGGGTATAAACCCTATATAAGGGGAGAGCAAAAGAGGAATCTTTGGTTGGATCCTCCAGGCAGCTTCGAGTCAAGACCGAGATGGACAAAGAACTCTGCAGCTGAAGAAGAGCCGGGCCACAGGGACGAAGACTGTCCTGTTCACGGGGACCAACCCATCAGCCCGCAACATGTGGCTTCAAATCGGACTTCTCTCATCAGCGGGTTCAGACCCAAAGACAAAGATGAAGACAAAGATGAAGATGAAGACAAAGATGAAGATCAAGACAAAGACAAAGACCCAAGTCCTTGTGACCTCATCATCAATGCAGAGATGACCAACAGAGACCAACCGAGATCCCTGCCTTCGTCAATCAACCTCCTCCTCCAACATCTTTTCATCATCGATCCGGGTCTGGGGTTCGAGACACAAACTCCGTCCGTCTCTCTAAAGGTTCCCTTTTAGTTCTTAGTATCAGCGTTAGGGAAAGACAGGCTAGATGATTGATTTACTTATTTGATTATTCTGTTATTTGATTAAGCTGTACTGACCCTTGCAAATTGCTTTACTAATAAAATATTTAGCATAAAGAAAATCTAAAAGATGTTGTGGACATTCAATTAATGAGTCACCTCAAAGTTCTTTGATGGTAGTAAAATAGCTGTGATGTTTGATTCTGGGGAAGAAAAGTAGGTCATGTTTTATAGGTTGCTTTAGCCAAATTTAAAACAACATCCTTGGACTCGCCAGAGTCACTAAAACTAACCTGATTCAGTAACAAGTGCAAGTTGCAAAAAAGAGAAGGAGCGACCGTTAACAGATGTGCTCTGTGGAACTAGTTATCTGTATGTTGCTCAGTCTGGCTAATTCACAGGGGGAAGAAGGGTGAGACATCTGGATGTAGGCCGTCAGTAACCAGGCGAATCCTTTCTGGAAACCAGCTTAAACAGAGTTTACTTCAGTTCTGGATAGGGTAAATCCCAGCGGATTTAGGAAACTCAATTCACCCGTTAGATGGAGAGCTGGTAGCACATCTCCCCTCTCAGAAGAGGAAGTAGTGACTGAGAGAGTAGAGTGAAGAAAGGGGGGGGGGGGGTGTAGCGGCAACAACAAATTTTAAATTAGCACAATAGTACACAGGCTAACCTTTACGTTAAGACAAACTTAGATAAAGATCCAAACTAAAACAACTGGCCACTCTCAAAATTTTACATGAATTGTATAGGGAGGATCTTAAAGAAAGACAGACTGAGACTTCCTTAACTCTCTTTAGACAGGACATCTGTCTACCAGACAATTAACAAATTCCTTAGTGTGGTTCAAAAGTTCACTAGGATCTTAAAACTTCTTATAAATAATTTTATTCATACTAGAATTAAATATATTTCTTTAAGCATGTTTTGAATTAGTTACTTTTTAGATCCAAACTTACAGTCATTTTTTAGCATTAGATTTTGTTTCAGTAAAACACAAAGACGTTCTAGTTCAATCACTGAGGAGAAAACTAAAATAGTCAGAGGTCGTAAATTTTTGCAGAGGGAGAGTTTGCAGGAGACGCCTGGTACGGCAAAGACCCAGTTTGACAATCCATAGATCTGCCTTTGGGCTCTTTAGCATGAGATAATAAAATTAACATTAAGACAGCCCCCACGGAGGAAAAACACACCTTCTAATGCATATATTTAAATTTAGAGAAAGGCACAGGCTTATAAAAGTTTTCGTTTGCAACAGAGAACTCAAATTGCTTTCTGCCCGAGTTCGAAATTTCCGGAAAAATTCATTTTTCTGCCTTTACGTTCAACTCGTGTAATTGTTTGTTTTGTCATGTCTTGGACTTTTGATAATCTAGGTGAGATGCTTATTGTAACATTCTTCTTGCATTGATTTTCTCTGGATAAAACTCTGAATATCTGAAGTCTGATGTCGTATGATTGCTCTTTCTCCCTGCGCATATTGAGGCTCAAGAATCTGGGATCAGAGGAATGAATTAACGAGCCAAATTAAGTTATTCCTCTTTTTTATTCTTAACAATCTTCATGGCTCAGTGGCAAACAGGCATTGAGGAAATGCATCAAAGACACCGTCTTATACTTCAGATACCTGGATGACATCTGGACATCAGAACTCACTCAGTGGAAGATTTGAAACATTTTACTCACACATTGAACCACCAGCATTAAAGCTGTAGACATTTTAGAAACCACCACAGAAAGACTCACAATTCAAGGCCACACATAAACTTGATTGTTATGTTTGGTAGGTAGGACGAGGTAGAAGCTCAGTAGACTAAATAACTCTTAACAGCTTTTATTCATAACTAGCTCAGCAGTACAACATAAGCTTTTCCGCCATCTTAGCTCTTCTTCTACTCTGCCTCTCTCTCTCCTCTCGATCCTATTCTGGAACGCCTCCTAGTGGTAGACACAACATTGATGTTTGTCTGTTTGGAGCCCACTGACCTCGGTAAAAGCAGCTATAACCCAAGCACACCTAGGCAGGCCTAATTAAATCACAGTTACTAAGATTCCACTTCATTTACTCTGCAGATTTCAGGGAGTCCTCTTGAAGGCCTTTCTTCTGAGGAGAAACTCCAGGACCTTCCTGAGGGGATGCAGAGCTTCTTTCCTCCAGTCCAGCCAAGCGGAGAGCTCTGCCACTCGCCCTATCACATTTTCACCCTCTGTCAGCCAGGTCCTTACCAAGATCAAGTTCCAATCAAACTGCTCAGTTACCAAATAAAGGAATTATTGCAGTCTACAGAAGGAATAAAAATCTCAGATTATTTGGTTAAAGGAACCAGGGTTAAAGGTCAGCAAGAATTTTTTCTAACTCTATTTTGGATTAAAAAGAAATTTAATAGCAGTTTACAAAACTGATCAATCTGGACACCCCAAAATCAAAACTTGTGTTTACCTAATTAGATGCAAAACCTACCTAAATGAATATGCTGGTGAAACGGGGAAGACGGTTCTGACCCGTTTCACCAGCATATATACATTATAAATCACAAGGACAAAACATGCTCCCCTAATTCTGCACGTAATAGATTGTGGATGGAACAACCTGAGTCCCTCTGTTCTCCAGCACAATCTCACCAGGTCTACAGCTGAGCGCCGGCGTGCTGAGAGACTGGATCTGCAGACTCAGCACTCCGGTACCGGCGGGCCTAAATGAGAAGCAAGACAACTGAGGGGATTCCTAGCAGGACTGACCGTGTTCTGAGAACTGCAGCTCAGTTATGCAAACAGAAAGCCCAACCCAATAAAATATCCCTAGAACACATATCACAGTAAACAGGAGCCTAGCCCAGTGTGTCACTATATATATATATATATATATATATATATATATATATATATATATATATATATATCAATTTTTTTAATCAATAAATAATATTTCTATAAATATTACAGGCAATGTGTGATCAAACTACTCTGATGAAATAGAACTCTTCTTAATTACGATCATCTAATTGGCAAATCGTCACTCATCATGGAGTGACCCCTACTGGTGAAAACAGAGTCCTGCAAACATGGCTCCTTCTGATTGGGTCAGCTTTTCACACAATTGATCATCATCATAACATATACACAGTATGGTGTGTCCGTCACCATGGGGACAGATGTCAGCTCTGCAAGAACGTCTTCACGGACCATGGACCAGTCAAAACCTCTGGCAGGGAGAACCCAGAAGAATCACTGAGTGGAGCTGCTGAGAGGTTAAACATGATGAAACTAGGAGCAGAACCTGGAACAGAACTTGAAACAGAACCTCGGAGGTGTGTTGGAACTTCTTCATCATGCCTGAACAACCAGAGACCAGATGAAGAACCAGACAGGTCCAACTGATGACTTTGGGAGCAACTTTATTTCAGATGTATAGTGCATCAGAACCAACTTCTCTTGGTACCAAGTAACTGGCTCACACTGAAACCAGAATCACCTCATAGAGGGAACTGAACTGAGCCGAGTCAGGTGGGATCACAGCTTTCATGGTTGCACAGAAATAAGAAAAACAAAACAGGAATATTTAATCGCTGAAGCCAAAACAGCAACACCTTCATTTCTATTTCATTGTTCAAATAAAATATAAATCTAAAAAACTGAAATGGTCCAAACGACCAACTGGTAAAGGTTTGGCACCATAACAGGTTCCGGGACCAGTTCTAGAGGGGCACTGGGTCCCGTTGGCCCATATCTAGAATCCAACCATCACCCCAGACCGGGAGCCCAGAAGAACCCTGGATATACTTGGGTGAAACAACTGGAACGTATCCAGGAGGAACCAACAGATTAAATCTTCTGTCCAGTACGGTTCTGCTATGATTGAGCTCTGGATCAATGATGATGACCTTTGGACCAACCAGAACTTTGCCACAAGTTCAGATTTCAGGGATGGTTCAGCCTGAGGAAGGGTTCAAAAGGAACCACAAGGTCGGGTTCTACAGAAAATCTGAGGGGTCATCTGGACCCCAGCAGCTGAAAAACCAGGATGGGTTCACTGAGGAGCTTTGGTCCAAACTCCTGAGCCTGGCTGAAAGAGTTTCTGCTGGGTCTCTGGACCTTAAAGTTCTCCTCTGAGCTCAGGTCCATTTCTGGTACCAGAAACTCAGAACATCTGACTAGGATGTGATCTTAATCTGGAACCAGTCAACAAACCAACCAAGCCAACACCATCAATGCTACAGGTTGGTCCAGTTCAGGACAAACACCAGAACTTTAGCAGAAAATCATAAACTTCACATCTCAATAATTTAAGGCAGTTGATCTGGTTTTGGTTCCGACAGAAATACAACTGACAGATGTGGCACCTTTGAACCAGTCCATCAGAAGTGGACCCGTCCAGAGTGCGGGTCTGATGGAGCTCCTCCTCCAGAGACGTGCTGCAGGAAGTTCTGGCCCATCGGTCGGTTTATCTGGTAGTTCTGAACCAGCGCCTCCTCGGTCCAGTCGCTTCTGGTCAATAGAGGTTCCATGTGGGGCCCAGGAGTTCGGATCAGAACCGGGTACGGAGCGATCGGAGGATCCCGGTTCAACAGAGTGTGTCCGTGAGCTCGGAGCGGTCCATCCGGATCGTAAGGTGGAACCGGCAACACGGATGTGTCCCGGGTCTCCAGCTGTTGGTTCTGATGGTGCATTTGGTACAGCTGTTTCTTGTGGACCTCACAGGGGTTCTGCTGGTCCAATCGAGTCTGGAAAAGTTGCTTCTTAGGGGGGTAGACCTGGTTCTGCTGGTCTAGCTTCTTTTTCTGGTTCCGAATGCTATCTTGGGCCTCCTGGTTCATCTGGACCTCGTATTGTGGGCTTTTATGGTACTGAGAGTTCTGACAGATCTGTTCCACCTGGGACTGATGTGGCTGCTTCTGCTGGTTATGTTGTGGTTGATCAGACTGGGGGTTCTGCTTCTTTTGGTTCTGGTTCTGTGCTTGGATTTGTTGATTTTCCTCCTGGTTCATCTGAGCGTGAAACTGCTGTTTTTTCTGGCTCTGGATCTGGTTGTGGATCTGGTTCTTAACGTCCTTCCAGTGTCTCCCCTTGAGAACTGGTTCCAGATCCAAACAGCGCTGACAGACCTCCTTGCCCGGTACTGTCTGGAGCAGAACATGGTCCCCTAACTGTCTCCAGATGGCGTCCTTCTCTGCAGAAGACCAGGGCCGGCGCTGGGCCTTCCTGAGGCAGAAAGGAACTGAAGGACAGAGGACACCTTTCAAGACCAGAGACAAGATGGACCTCTAGAGGTTATCATGAATGCATGACCCACCTGAGACTGGGTTTTGTAGTCTGGACTCTGGAGGAAGCAGGGGAACTTCAGGGCTGGGCCCAAATCTGGATAGAACTGCAGGGAGACAGAGACTAAGGTGAAAACAGCACCCTCTGGTGGAGAGATGGTGTCATTACAGGAGAAAAAGCTAAAACTGTAGAGGACCTCCTGCTGGAAGATGGCTCTTGGTTTGTGATAAGTAGCTTACATCAGCCTGGGTCAGAACTCACCATCGGCTCTCGGGTCTTTGTTGATTCTGGTCAGGCCCGATCGTTTCTTGGGTTTGGTTCCTCCATCTGCTGCAGCTGCATGAACAAAACTGTAATGTGTGGTCAAGTACTTCCAATACATACCTGTTTGAGGAGGACTCAGTTCTTACTCTGTTCTAGGTCAGGGTTCTGGAGGCCCAAGTTGTCCCACTCACTCCCCAGAAGGTGGTAGAAGTCGGTGGTTCTGGCTGCAGCCTCCCAGTCTCCATCCAAAAGACTCTCTCCAATGGCAATGTCGCAGACGGTCTTCAGGGTGGTCTTCACCGATAGCGGGGGCCGGCTCCACCGGTAGCCTGCAGCCTTCCTGGCAGCAGAGAGTGCCAGGCTGAGCTGACCCGGCGCCAGCAGGTCCTGCAGGGTCTGGACCTCAGAGTCCAGAGACTTAGCGGCCAGCAGGAGGCGACCGAGTTCCCGGAGCTTCTGGCTGACATACTCATAACTTCGCTGGTTACCGTCTTGGTTCTCCAGCAGCTTGTTGCCGTACTTACAAATCAGCCAATCAGACTTCACCTGGGAAGAAACAGGGGGAGGAGTTAGAGAGTGGACAGAGTCAGAGAGAAGTAAACATTAGAAGATGAAGGTGTACAGACCTCATAAGAGACGTTGTCCTGGTTCATGCGGTGCAGGATCTCACTGACGCCCTCCGATGCGCTGCTAGAGATCGGCAGCAGGCGGGATGCTGCAGCCTGAACTCTAGTCCTCCTCTTAGGGAGGTTCTGTGCCGAGTTCTGGTTCTGATTTACACTGGGCTGAGAGGTCAGGTTCTGACTCTTCTCGTGCTCAGAGCTCTGATTCGAGGCCTCAGCAGGGGCTTTGTCAGCTGGATCTAAGGTAAGTTCACCTATGGACTCTAAAGAAGGAAATGCCTCGTCAGAGGAGGTCTCAACTGAGGGGCCAGGGCGTTTGGACGGATCAATGGCAAGCTTTTTCCGACAGGACACTTGGTGTCTCCAGAGGTCGGCTCGGAGGAAGAAGCCAAGGCAGAGAGGACATGGCAGGTAGTTTCTGGCGTCAACATCAAACTTCTCTGAGGGCTGCCGCCACGGGACGATCTCGCCGCGTCCCTGACGGATCACCTGGTGGACACACAGTAAGTCAGATGGACTTTGACACAGGTAGATTACAGGTTAAACAACTAACAGAGTCAAAGGTAAACAGGAAGACCTTTGACCTCTGGTCCTTGAAGAAGAGAGGTATTATTCTAGATGTTTAGAGAATCCTGAAGGAGTTCATGTCTGGCTCAGTCTGAAACAGCAACAGACTGCTCCCCCTCAGAACCACCCTAACTCTGCATTCCAGTAACCATTGACACATGAAGATGCTGTGTCTGAAAGGTGGGAGTGTGGAATTAGGGTGGAATGACAGAGCCGGGACTCATCGGCGTAGCAGTGAAAGTGAATATGTTTATTAAAAATGTAACAAATGTGTGGAAGTTAGATGATGAACTGCAAGGGCATGCTGTTCATCACGAAGCCCTGAGAAACACCTAAGACGATGGGAACAATTCCCATACCGGTGGATAATTGCAGCACTCTTTTCCTGTGATGGAATAAGAAGGATCTTGACTGTTTACAGACTGTTCAGATTGCTAGTGAAAGGGTTTTAACCATTTTAAATGTCTTTACATTGGCTTCCACTACATTTTAGAAATCATAATAAAACTTTAGTTCTTACTTTCAGTCTGTCTTTTGACCTGCTAGAGCCTCACTCCTATTCTACCTCTTCTATCTATACCCACATCTTCCAGTGAAAGGCTGTAAAATTTTCCAACAACTCATTTAAAGAGCGAGGACAAAGCCTTTGGACCCCAGACTGAGCAATGTGTTGCCTGTAACTTTACGCTGCCTCGATTCCCTTTATACTTTTAAAAATTCAAATTGGCTTTCAATTAGTTTTATGTCATGTCTGCTGTTTTATCATTCCTTTTTTAATGTTTCATACTTTCTAAAGAACTTTGTAGTTTCTCACATGTAAAATGTGCTGTATGAATAAAGTTTACTTAATAAATTATTTTAACTGAATACAGTGAGTGCAGTTTGAAAGTCAAATTGAAAATGTTGACTTTGAGAGCTGTGTCAAACTCCTTTCAAGCCTAAGAAAATGGCAAAGGCAACAAAACAATGGCCACCAAAAAGATAAAAACCAGGCTGGATCCAAAAGTTGTACTTTTTTTTTCATATACTTCTTTTAAAAAACTTTTGCAGTTTCTCAACCGCAAATAAGAGGTTGATGGTTGTTCTAAGCCACTCAGCTTAAAAAAATCATGTCAGGTCGAATTAAGGGGTGGAGACACCATTTACATTTCCAGATAGAAAATATACATATGTACTCAACTATATTTATAGAAAAACATTTACAGAATAAAGATCAACTTTAGCAACTCAAACCTAAAGCAAAAATAACAATCTGGGCCCAAACAAATACCAAAGCATCCCTCTCAATGGGTTGTGTGTCCCAGTACATGTTTGTGCGTAAGCCACTTCAAACATGAGGTTCCTGCATTTCCACCTGACCAGGTGTTGCCATGGAAAGAGCAGGAGAGAACCATTAGAAGAAAATCTGAAATAAATAAATGAGGTTTAAACCCTCCCACAAACAGAAACATTTATCAGTTAAATTAATGAAGATACAGAAAGTAGAAACTACAGGTGCTGTTACTGATGGTGAATCCCTCACAGCCTGACTGCATCAGGGAGACACGCAACTTTAGTCAGAAAATTTCAGCCAGAAATTTATGGAGCCTCAGGAAAAATGGCCTTTGAAAGTTATTGTACAGGACAGAACATATGAATTTCCTTGTGATAAAAATGAAAACATTAAGTGAGGAGTGGATTGACTGCATTTTTCATAAAGGGCAACAAAAAGATGGAAATAAAATACAACTTTTATACCTGTTGGCATAAAAGATGCCAAAAAGGTAGTTAATGAATTTGGGGAAAACATTCCCAGAATCAGTTCCCAATACCTGGATGAACTGACCCAGAAGAACCCGAAGACCCATTTAACAGAACCGTCGTGATGACCTGAGGATCCTCCAGACTTCAGAGAAAATATTCTGGAGACACAGTGACCCAAGTGGAAAGTTCCGGTCTGGTTCCATCTGGTATAGAACTAACTCAGCATTTCAGAACCAGAACCCGTCTTTCTCTCAGCTTCACGGCCTCTGAAGTTCTGGTTCTGACTTCATGAGGATGATTCAACCAGGACCCGATGATGAACAGACCTGGAATCCCCAGAGTACCCTGAACAGCTCCGTCTAGGAGAGTAACCCCACCTCAATGTTGTGCAGGTAGTTGCCTCTGCAGCGTAGGTGTTCCAGCAGCAGGTGGCGCTGTTTGGACCCGGTGGGTAGGGCGCCGGCGGCCAGAACTTCCTGCTGGTCGGTGTGCTTCCTGAGAAGGTGGCGAGCGATCTTGACCTGCGGTCGGCGGCAGAAGACGCAGTAATGCTTCTTGTCCCAGCGCCGCTTCCCGTCGCTCAATGACCTCTTCACCGTCACGCCCTCCTTCTCCTGGCCCCGCCTCTTCTCAGCAAGGCCCCGCCTCTTCTCAGCAAGGCCCCGCCTCTTTGCCTTTTGGCCCCTCCGCCCCATGAGCCGGCGCCGAGTCGGGCCGGATGCAGCTTTAGGTGGATCTCTGTCAGGAGAAGGCTGGACCTCTGGGCTCACCGTACCAACATTAGTGTCCTCGTCCATGGTAACAGCAGTCTCCATAACAACCTGAAGTTCACAGACAAACAAAGAAAGGATCTCAGGTGAATCAGATTTAACCAGAGAATGCAAAAAGCTAACCGTCACCTGAGAACCCAGATCTGACCCAAAGACCGCCACATGACCTGATCGCAAACACAGAGGACAACTGGTGGAATGACCCTTTAATCTGCTTGGACGTGACCAGACAGGAGAAGGCCGAGGAGCTGGATCCCAGATTATCGATCCCAGATTGATCAATAATGTGGGATCCCAGATTATCAACTACTAACAATTAGTTAATAAACATTTTCTTTATAAATGTTACATACTGCTGCTTTCTTCTTTGCAACTTATTTACATTGAAACCAACATTGAATAAAAAATGTGTGAAAGAATTTTGTGACTGTTGATAACTCCACAAAGCATATTTTATCTTGCCTGTAAGTCTGTTGGTTATTTGATAATAGGTTAGATGAACAAATTGAAATGGACATCATCTGGGTACTGACTGTGATATTCACCTGGGTCTCTCCCCAAACTGTCCAATAAATGATGAAACATTTATTCTGGACATAGTATGTATGGAAGTAATTGGCATGACTTAAATATACATTTTTGATGCATTTGATACATTTTCATTTTTCACTTGCTGCTTTCCTATGGAATATTCTGTTTTTAAAATCTCCCATTCCTCCAGATGAGCCTTGAACACCAGCAGGGCGTGACGTCACCATCTTTTACCCCTTTAATTCACTCTAAAACAAAATAGAAAGTCAAAAGTTCATTTTCTATTGCACACTATTACCGTAATGCACCATGTATGCACGACGCTAATCTTTAAGAGAGCGCTAACGTGGCCTGGTTTGACGGCTGTTCTCTGGTTCCGAGTCCTGTGGAGGACAGGTGACCGCATGCAGGTGTGGGTTCAACGAACCGAACCGTCAGGTTCTGTGCCATGTTCTGCTCGGTGGCTCATAAAAACCCAACAAAACACCGATGTGGGCCTGGGACTGCAAAATGTGATGCTTTGTCAATAAAGTCTGGTTTAACCATCCTCTCCCTCTGCCGAACCGAACCTTCACCTGAACCACCGGCATCAGCACCATGTCCGGAGGAGGAAACCCAAGCTGTCCGACAATGGAAGTCCGAGGGCTAAAGGCGTCGGTAGGATTGTGTCATCACACACATGAACAGAACCGAGCAGAACCGAGCCACAGGACATACACAGGAAGTGACCGAACCTAACAGAACCACCTCGACCCATCTTTACCTTAGAAACGGCCTCAAACTCCTCTTCCTCGGCTTATTTTTCTTTTCTTCTACTTCTTCTTCAGAGTTTATTGGGAAGTTGACATGAAACGTAATGTATGTATTACCGCCCCCTAGCGGTGGGGAATGTGGTTCAGCATGTCTTCCTTTGGACCTTCAGAAGGAGTGATCATGTTTCTTAGTCATCTTAGGTTGTCTAAAAATCATGATTAAAAATGTAATACATTTACTTTCTGAATGTCCGTGTACACTAATAAAATATTTATTTATTTTTTTCTCATTTCCTACAACATGGATCTTCTTTTTGTCTTGTTTTCTGATATATTTATATTAGTTTGTTTCCTGTTGTGGTGTTGAAGACAATGAACTTCTAAATTCATAATATTGTTATTACTTTTCGGTTTCTCCTTGATCTCATTTCTCTAATTCCGTTTATAATCAAATAAAACAATATTTCTTTACTTTTATTTCCTTTTATCTACTTTTTTGTTTAATTATAATTTATGCTTCTGATTTTCTTGCAATCACTGTGAAGTTGATTTGTCCAACTGGTTTTGTTTCCCTTCACCCCAATAGGTTCTGCTGGAACCTAAATAAATATGGACGTTAATCATATCATCTAAATAGCAACTGCTGCTGTTTCTTATGAAATGTCTGGTGCACAACAAATTATTATTCTTAAAAGTCTTATTTCTTCTGTGCATTGTACTGCTAGTAATAATGCTAATATTTTGCTTGTGTATGCTGAGAAGCCATTTGGAATTCATTTACCTTCTTTTAGTAATTTATACTATTCCTATTTCTCTGGTTGGATGTTTTTAGTAAAGCTGTCTAAATCTTGACATATTCGTGGAAGTTCTTTGTATATTTCTGTGTTGTACATGAATTAAAACAAATCCTTTATCCATTTTCTTGTATGAAAGTGTTACATCTACTTTTGCATCATGTAAGATTCGTGTTCATATTGCACATTGGACTAAATATTTAAAAGTGCCTCTTTCTGCCTCTCAGTCATTTCCAGGTAAACGTCTGACAATGTTTACAGCTTTCTTATATTTATCAATGACTTTCTATGTTATTTGTTCAAACTGTATCCCTAAAAACATATGTTTCAGTTTAATTCTTGATCATATAAATTATAATTTCATTTTGATATTTGATAGTGGGTGTAAAACATAACTTTTGTTTGAATAAATCCTGATAGAAAACAGGATGACACTTAGAACGCTTCCTTGTTTTGTTCCCTTTGCAGCCATCAGACACCAGGCTGCATATTCTGCAGAGAATTGGTCACCTATTCTAACTCGTACATTTCCATTTGATAAAAAGTTCTTTATCCAATTAAATATTTTTTCAGTATTGGGAGAATGGTGGCTACAGAGTTAGGGGTTTATCTCCCATTCGGTGGGTTGCCGGTTTGATTCCCACTCTGTCTGCACCTTTCATTGTGTCCCTGGGCAAGAAACTTCACCCACGTTGCCTGCTGAGTGGACCAGATGGTCAACAGGGGGCGCTGGTCCCTCTGTCTGGATGGCAGGCAGTGGCTCACCACCATCAATGTGTGAATGACTGAAAATAAAGTGAAATGGTATTTAAATACTATATTCATCAGCATCAATCAATCAATCAATCAAATTTTATTTGTATTGCACATTTCAGCAGCAAGGCATTTCAAAGTGCTTTACATCATAAACACAAAAACACAAAGTCATACAACGCAGAATGTTGGTCTGCGTCCCAGACCAACAATACATTGATCCATCATTACATTTTTAATTGATTACATTTCAAATCCAATTCTAAACAGGTGTGTTTTTGTTCGAGATTTCAAGGAAGTCAAGGTTTCCGCTGTTTTACAGTTTTATGTTTCTGCATCGATGCAAATTTGTGGTGCATAGATGCTGAAAGCTGCTTTTCCTCGTTTGGTTCTGGTTCTGGATGCAGAGCAGAACCAGAACCAGAACCTGAGAGTCTGGAAGATTGATACAACAACAGCAGATCTTTGATGTATTGTAGTGCTAAACCGTTCAGTGATTTATAAACTAACAACAGTATTTTAAAGTCTATTCTTTGAGCTACAGGGAGCCAGTAGAGGGACTTTAAAACTGGACAGAAGGGTTATAATCTTGGGTTATAATCTTGGGTTATAATCTTGGGTTATGATCTTGGTTTATAATCTTGGGTTATAATCTTGGGTTATAATCTTGGTTTATAATCTTGGGTTATAATCTTGGGTTTCTTGTTTATCTTGGGTTATAATCTTGGGTTATAATCTTGGGTTATAATCTTGGGTTATAATCTTGGGTTATAATCTTGGGTTATAATCTTGGGTTATAATCTTGGGTTATAATCTTGGGTTATAATCTTGGTTATAATCTTGGGTTATAATCTTGGGTTATAATCTTGGTTATGATCTTGGTTATAATCTTGGGTTATAATCTTGGGTTATAATCTTGGGTTATGATCTTGGTTTATAATCTTGGGTTATAATCTTGGGTTATAATCTTGGGTTATAATCTTGGGTTATGATCTTGGTTTATAATCTTGGGTTATAATCTTGGGTTATGATCTTGGTTTATAATCTTGGGTTATAATCTTGGGTTATAATCTTGGGTTATAATCTTGGGTTATAATCTTGGGTTATAATCTTGGGTTATGATCTTGGGTTATAATCTTGGGTTATAATCTTGGGTTATAATCTTGGTTTATAATCTTGGGTTATAATCTTGGGTTATAATCTTGGGTTATGATCTTGGTTTATAATCTTGGTTTATAATCTTGGGTTATAATCTTGGGTTATGATCTTGGTTTATAATCTTGGGTTATAATCTTGGGTTATAATCTTGGGTTATGATCTTGGTTTATAATCTTGGGTTATAATCTTGGGTTATGATCTTGGTTTATAATCTTGGGTTATAATCTTGGGTTATAATCTTGGGTTATAATCTTGGGTTATAATCTTGGGTTATAATCTTGGGTTATGATCTTGGGTTATAATCTTGGGTTATAATCTTGGGTTATAATCTTGGTTTATAATCTTGGGTTATAATCTTGGGTTATAATCTTGGGTTATGATCTTGGTTTATAATCTTGGGTTATAATCTTGGGTTATAATCTTGGGTTATGATCTTGGTTTATAATCTTGGGTTATAATCTTGGGTTATGATCTTGGTTTATAATCTTGGGTTATAATCTTGGGTTATAATCTTGGGTTATAATCTTGGGTTATAATCTTGGGTTATAATCTTGGGTTATAATCTTGGGTTATGATCTTGGGTTATGATCTTGGCATTGTTTTGGAGATGAAAGAAACAACTTTGTTATGGGATTCAATTTTGCATCCTGGTCAAAAATAACACAGAAGTTCTTTATTTTATTACTGGAGGTCAATTTAATGCCGTCCAGACGGTTGAGGGTGATTGGCAGACTGAGCGCCCCATTTTCAGACCAATCCATCCAAGACGTTACAGCAGCAGCACCAAGAAACCCACAACCGCCAACTCCACCCAGAACAGACCGAAAACATTCACCAACCACCTGTGTGTCCCAGTCCAGTGTTGGACACTGCGTCCCGGTCCAGTGTTGGACACTGCGTCCCGGTCCAGTGTTGGACACTGCGTCCCGGTCCAGTGTTGGACACTGCGTCCCGGTCCAGTGTTGGACACTGTGTCCCAGTATGAAGCTGTTGCTGAACTGGAGAGCTCCTTCAGTGATGGACCAGCTGCACAGAGAAGTGTTATTCCAGTGGGTTAAACCAAACGTCTCTTTCCTCAGACATTATTTCAGCTTCATTTGAAAGTAAACAAGATTTGATAAGCACTTATAAAACAAAACAAAATTGAAACAGTATTGTTTCTGAAACAAGACAAGAGAAGTGAATTGTATAATGAATTTTCTTTCAGATTTTTAACTAGACATTATAGATAAAATGTCTGAAAGTGTCTTCACAATATTGACACGCCGCTCTTCACCCGGATTCATCAGCTTTATTTTGAGCATTTAAGAGACTGAAATGAAAAACTTGTTACAGCAGGCAACCCAAAGCAAGACAAAGTAGTTTATCTGTCAGGAAAAATCTTTGCAGATTTACAGGATGTTGACTGTAACAGCTGTTTCTCCTTCCGATATTTCATAACAAAAGAAGCTCTGGATTGATTTAAATGTGAACAAGTCCACTATGAAGCAAAACAACAAACTCATGTTTCTTTGACAATATGAACAGAAACTTTCCAGACTTCCAGGTCCAGTAATACGCAGAAAAATATCTAATAGAAGCTCTGCAGGCAAATCTTCAGGAGTTTTGCTGAAAAATAAAGTTGACAATTTCAGTTACACAACAGTGAAAAATAATTGTTCTAAAAAGATCAAATTTCTCACCAGCAAAGCTCGACCTCTGGTTTCTATCGGCAACAGGAAGTTTCCCAGAGCACATATGACACAAGCAACCGCAAACGGAGTGAGAGCTTGAATCACAGACCGCGACATGAGCACCTGAAGTACACAGAGCAATGAGGCACAGCAACAGCAATCTGAAAATGGTGTTTTTGAGCTGGACCTTGGACACACCTGTGCAATAAACGGAGCGATCATCCCTCCAATCCGACTGAACGAGGTGCAGAAACCCATCCCAAGAGATCGTGCTATGGTTGGGTAGACCTGGGATAGAAACCATTTGGAACATTTGATGTGAGAAAACTTCACCAGGATCTGCTGCCTTTTTAGATTCAGACTAGAAAAATCAGCTTCATAAACCATGACTGTGAACAAACAGGGAATTTGACTTTGGTGTTCATATGCGCACAGTGTACAAGTATTAAGTATAATTATATGATCTGTACTGGAAATAAAAAATAAAATGTATAACTTATTATGTTTGGAAGTCAACATAAAGTAGGAGATGAGTTGGGCAAGAACTCCTTTACGTTTAACTTGTTTAACAGAATCATATTTACATTCCCTTCATTCTTTCTTCTTTTCCTTCTCTACACTACGAAATACATACATACGCCACCTAGTGGTGAACAAAAACACTCAACAATGTGGTTACTCAGAACTTTAGCTGTATGAATATTGATGAACAAAGTGTGAAATGTGTGCATCCCCATTCTACCTCCATGTATGGAGGAGGAATATTCCTACAGCAAAGGCCCCATTAATGACCCCTTTAATGACCCCTACAAAGCATGCTGGGAAATTATTGCAGATGGCAAAATAATCATTGCACACCAGAGACACAGTAACAATTAATAAAGGTTCTTTCTGCAATTACATGAGTGGTTGTTTATGTGTGAAGAATGGTTCAGAAAATATAGCAAACAATGGATTTGTTGCCATCTAATTTTTATGATTATTATTACTATTATTATTATGACGTCTAACAATAGGCGTCTCAGAGGGAGCTGCTATTCAATCAGAACTCAGACTGTGCTGGATTCTCTAAATGTAAAGACATGATCAACTCTTACCTCAGCTGTGTAAATGTAAACCACATTAAAGTTCATGGAGACCAGAGATCGCAGCAGGAACAGCAGCACAGTGAAGCCGAACCTGAAGTAAGACACAAAGTTTCCATAATGCAGCTCAGATGCATTAAAATATGCTAAACGGACCTAATGAATAAGTTTTGCATCACAGTGACTCTGGTCCCTGTCAGATTTCAGTGGGAAGCACAGGAACTAAAGGTCTGATCAAATGAGGTTCCAGTGATTCAGACCAGTAAACCGAATCTCAACCCAGTTTAGAGATCTGGTCGTCATGGAGCCCAGAGCACCAATTGGACTCTACAAAGCGTTTCTGCTGACATTCATCAGAGCCACATTTTCTATGTTGAACAGACAGAGGATGGGTATTATGCTGGAAAATTGGTTTCTGTCTTTCATTCTTTTTCTAATAATAAAAATATGCATGGTCAAATAAAATGTACACCTTCTTATGTTTATAAGTCAACATGGCTGCCACTTGAGCGCCTGAAGTCCACATAGAGAGCGACAGTGAAAACTGGCTAGAGGAAAGGAGATGCTCCATTTGTTCTGTAGCAGAAGGTCACAGTGGTTTATGAACAGACATGCAAAGCCACAAAAGCAGAGAATTATTGCTCCAGTCAGGGTGAGTTCAATCTGATCCGCCTGGTAAACACACAGCCACTTCCTAGTGACAGACCAATCAAACTGCAGATGTCCTTGGTGACTTATCAGAGTGCAGTCCTTACATTGTTGTGCAGATGTTGACCATCATGAACAGAAGAGCTGTTAACAGTTGAAGCACAGTGAGACTTATCCTCCGTCCAAACACGTTGAGCAGGACGATGTTCAATGGAACCACTGGGAGAACAGAGAAGATGGAGAGTCACAAGCCCAGCCTGGTGCAGAGCAACACAAATCACAATCTGGACAGAATAAACCTTCCTGAAAGAAAATCAGAAGACATGTTGCTTTTATCGTAAACAGCATATAAACTGGATTTTATTCAGCAGCAATGTTTAAATGTTTTTTAAAACATTTCCTGTTTAAAAAAATCTCTGATGTTCTGCATCTGTTCATCAACAATAAGGTACAAATGAACTAAATGAACGACATGAAAATGTGTAAGAAGTGAACCAATTTAATTGTGGTAAATGATTTGTACTTGTCTAGCAATTTATCAAGTCTAGAGGACTCCAAAGTGTTTCACTCTACATTCACTCATTCACCCTCTGGTGGCGAGCTACTGGATAGTAGCCATAGTTGCCCTGAAGTAGTCTGACCAAGGAGAGACTGCCAGGCACAGGCAACCGCTATCAGGTTGTTAGGCCACCTGTTGGGACCCCTGACCACCTGTTGGGCCACTGCAGGAAAGGCAGGAGAAGTGTCTTGCCCAAGGACAGAGGTGGACAGAGCTGGAATTGGACCAGTAACCTTCCTCTTGAGGAAGAACCAGTCGTTAAGAACACATTCAGACTGTTGGACTCACATGCCACTTCCCCCAGGGAGCTGATGAGCAGCGTCTGGTAGTCGTTGTTTCCAAAGGGGATGCAGTAGCAGAGTCCACTCTCATGGCGGTGTTTGACCTGATGCTCTGCGTCGGCATTTATCACACACAGCAGGTTTTTCTCCAGCAGCTCTGAGCTGCTCAGCACCGAGCCGTAGTACGCGAAGGACGCCACAAACCTGGAGGACAGAGAGAAAATAAATCCTGAGACTTTACTTGACCTGGATGCTCCGATGTTCCTCTTCCTGCAGCTCCAGGTTCAGGTTACAAAGTGTTTACAAAAATATAAATGCATGTAATTGTAGACTTTGAAACTTTTGACACAAAGTGCTGTAGTAAACATAAGTAAAAAAAAACAGAACTTTATTTTTAAAAATATCCGAATAAGAGACAAGAAATTTGATGGTGATCGACTCGGACTGTTTTTGACAGCATGTTTTTGAAGATGAGCAAACTTTACCATGAGTACCAGAGCAGGAGGGACGTCCTCCTGAAGGTGGGACTGAGCAGAATCCTCCAGCTGCCGCGTTCCCTCTGGGAATCAAACGTCACGCCATAAATCTAGTTTTCTCTTAAATGTGGTTTTAAGATCAGCATGTCAACAAAATGCATCTTCTAAAGAGATCACACACACACACACACACACACACACACGCACACGCACAAACACACACACACACACACACACACACACGCACACGCACAAACACACACACACACACACGCACACGCACAAACACACACACACACGCACACGCACAAAACACACACACACACGCACACGCACAAACACACACGCACACAAATGTTAAACACAAACATAAACAGCTCAAATCATATTTTGAAACAAACACAGCAGGAAACAATGAATTAAGCAGCAAAGACAATCATCCATCATCTGAAGTTTATGGTTATGATTTTTTCTGCTTCTTATCATAATGAAACAAAAAGATAATTGTCTATTGCTGATTCCCTTTCCAGGGTTTTAACTTCCAACTTTGATGAGAGCAGAATTAAACTCTGAATGTCTGTCCAGCCAGAGAGCAGAAGGACGTCTGGGTTTTCCATCTGGACGTTTAACTCAACATCAGGAACTCGTCCAAGCAGAAGAAAATGGAGAGATGGACAGAAGCTCCCAAGTTTGCTCTGTGTGAAACGGATTTGAAATGGGAGAATATCCAGCAACAGAACCACTGCATCATTGTTTGAGCCATGATGCAACACTGACACCATCAGGTCACAGCAAGGATTACAAGACTTCACAGTAGTCCAGGTATTTCCTGTGTAGTTCTAGGAAGATAAGACAGGAATCAGAAAATACCAGAGCGGGCTCCACCAGCCGGCCAGGAGGAAGAGAAGCTCGGTTCATTCTGGCGATCCTCTGCAGGGTTTTGACGGCAGCATCAACTTTCCCTGCTGACACGTTGTAACGGGCCGACTCAGGAATAAACTGGGGGTCAAACAGAAACATCTCATGCTTTGACTGGGACAGACGTGACAGAAACAAACAATTGGAGCAGAACCTGGACCTTGAAGAGGAAGATGAGGATGATGCTTGGTGTGATGGAGAGCCGGATCATCCATCTCCAGCCCATAGTGGGAACCACCAGCATGCCGAGGAGGATGATGAGCATGGAGCCGGTCATCCAGAAGACCTGAAACGCAACGAGCTTCAGTGCTTCTGTTGTTCTGAGGAAGAAAGGTTGAGAGAGCAAAACTCACAGTGCCCAGAGGCAGCAGGTAGGCTCGATATTTGGCAGGGATGAACTCTGTCTTCAACACAAACCTAAAGAGCAAACAAGTTACATTTAGCTAATCAGAGAGCAGGATTTTCAGTCTACTGCCGCTTTGTGTGAGCTGACCCCTGAGACACTCCTGCAACGCCGCAGCCCACCATGCTGCGCAGGAAGATAAACCAGCCGTACGTTGGAGCAAACGACGTGAGCAGAGAGAAATAGGCGCTCCACACATAACCTCCAAACACAACCTGAATGAAACACAAAGACCAAAGAAGAAGCACACAGAAAAAAATGCCGCTGCAACTGAAATCAGCCATTTCCTTACCTTCCAGCGTCCATATCTGTCAGCGATGTAACCGGCCAAAACTCCACAAACCATGAAGCCAACAAACACCATCTGAAGGAGACGTTCAGTCATCGACAGCATAAATGTACTTGTAGAGCGTCAGTAGACATTCAGTCATTCATAAACTGATGGTGGTGAGTTACTGGATCGCAGTCACTGCTGTCTGACAGAACCGGGTGTCATAAAATCAAATCTTAATGAACTCTATTTACTGTGGAGTCCTACAACGGTGAATATGATTGAAAAATAAACCAGAAATTAGCTTGTCATCATCATACTTCACATGTGAAGTTTCTTGGTTTACTGTTTTAAGAAGACTTTGATTATCAATCAACTGCTATCACGCGTTGCTCTCATCCTGATTGGTCATCATGGATTCTGGAGCGTTCTCATTTTTGTTCTCAGAAAAATCACTCGCAACAGAAATTCCACTTGTTTTCTAATCTTGAGTCCCAAACTATTCAGAGATTTTGCCAGTGCAGTTCTCCAACAGTTTCTTTAGTTAATGAGGGTTAATAAAATGTTAGCTAATAAAATGTTGAAAAAATGATCTAAATTCTACTTTGAATGTCTCCATCACCTCTGCACTGCACTGCAGCTCATCTTCAACAACATTTCAGATCATTTGAGTGACGTTCAGCTGAGTTTTATCAGAGATATTTGTGACACAGAGTTGAGTTTATGCGTAGTCTGGCTTGGATGACAGAAACTCACCGTGGAGACGAGGGCGACCTGCCAGTCCTCCAAGCGCCACTCGCATCGAATCTCTGGAGAAACCACAGCTAGCAGCATAATCTCCATGGCTTCCACAATCTGCACAAACACAGAGTCAGTGTGCAGATGTCCTACCTTCACTGCAGTTCTGCTGGCACTAAGACACTCACATTGGCACTGCCCATGATGACAAACAGCAGGACGTGGAAGCGCCCAAAGCCGATGGTTTCCACAGCTTGCTCCACAGTGAACTTCTCATCTGCTGCAGCTGAAAACAGTCCAGAGATTCAGTCAGATTCAATTCCTCCAGATCCGCACAGACATCCACCTCCACTAGATTTATCTGGAGAATCTGTCGCACCGCTGGAGCAAGTCATGGACTGTCTGTCATCTTGTTGGAAATACTATGTTCCCTCACCAGCTCTCTATGAAGAACACCTGACCAGTTAACACAAAGAGTAACTTAGCAACTCTACACATCTAGACATGCGGAAAACAACTGACTGAAATTTAAAGTGAGCATCAGAAGAAGGGTGTAAAGGACATCAACTAATGGAGTTTTATTTTGAAGGGCTAGAAATGCCGCCGAGTTCTAGATGACAAAAAGGCAACAATAACTCAAAGAGCCACTGGTTACCACCAAAGCGTGCAGAATGGGATCTGTGAATGCACAACGCACCAAACCTTGAAGCAGATGAGCTACAACAGCAGAAGCCCATACCAGGTGCTACTTTGTATCAGCTAACAAGAAACTAAGGCTACAATTCACACAGATACCAAAACTGGACCAGAACAGGTGGGAGAAACAATACTTGGTTCAATGAGCAACTGAGTTTCAGCTGAACCTTCCAGCCAGGTTGTCTGTCGACTTTCGGCAGGATCAGGTCATCTCATCCGGATCAGACCATCTGCAACGTGGAGATGATTCTCTGATCCTCTCAAGCATCTTTAGGAAGTTTGTGACCTGGAGCTTCTCACCATGGATCCATCTGTAGCTGATTGATTTAAATCTCAGGAATGTTTCTGAAACTCTTGTTGAATCTCAGTCTCGAAAAGTCAAAGCAGTCCTGAGGACTGGTACCGACCCGGTTCTGGCTAGATGTACTTCATAAAGTGTCCGGTGAGGCTATGTGATGGGAAATTTTTTATGCATGTTGGAAGAGAAAATGTCCAGAATTATTATTGCAGTTTATTGTTTGATAATTCCTCCTTACATATGATGCAACTTTCATGTGGCTCTTTAGTTCCACCTTGAAATCTGAAATTAATCAGCAAAATAATCACATATCTGGAAACTTCATCAGTACTCCAGATTTCTAGCCTCTCATCCTCAGATTTTTCTCTTCTCAGATAAATAATCAGATTTTTCTCAATAATTATCTGTCCAGGTAAAACCAGATGTGTCAGCATTTACCTGATCATCAAACTCACCATTGTTGCTGTTGCTGTTATCGCCCTGCGAGTTGCCTGTAGGTTTTTCTTGCAGTTCCACCTGCTGCAGATGGATGGCGCTCACCAGCTGAGTTTTCATAGAGTCCGTCATCCTAAAGCACAAGGTCAAACTCCAGACCTGGAGGGCCACTGGCTGCCCTGCAACCTTTAGATGAGCCTCTGCTGCTTCTCACCTGAACAGAATAATGAATAATGATCGGATCTCAAGGTTCTGGAGAACCGAACCAGACTGGAGGAGGTAATGAAGCCGTTTCATTTCATTGTACCTGTGGCTCATCTAAAACCTGCAGGAGGACAAGAGTTTGACTCTCCTGGTTCTTTCAGAAAGTCTTCCCAGCCTGCAGCTGACACCTTTTACAGTTCAACAAGTAAAAGCCGCCAGTTTCTTTCCATCACTTTCACAAGGATTTGCCAAATTAGAGCTTAATTTTATTTGACCTTCTATAGTTTTTCCCAGATGCTTTAAGTAGCTCAACAAAATCAAATGAATATAAATGCTTTAAGAACAATTGTTTGTGGCTTTTTTTGCTCATTTACAACATATTTGATAATAAATCTGAATATCAACTACATGAAGCCTGTTTGTGTTTTGTTTGATTCAACAGTTTAGCTGCAGGATGGAGACAGTCTGGACCGGGAATCGAACCGGGGACCGAGGGAATCGAACCGGGGACCGAGGGAATCGAACCGGGGACCGAGGGAATCGAACCGGGGACCGAGGGAATCGAACCGGGGACCGAGGGAATCGAACCGGGGACCGAGGGAATCGAACCGGGGACCGAGGGAATCGAACCGGGGACCGAGGGAATCGAACCGGGGACCGAGGTGGCCCAGGCTGTTTCCACTGAATACTCATCTAGAACACGCAGGTCTGAACCTCACCTGCACACTCAGCTGTTCTGACGCTCAACCGGCTTTAACGTACTGACATCGGTGGGCGGAGCTTACCGGTCCGTGTGTGACATCATCGGTACCTGCTGTTGTTCGGAAAGAGGTCCGTGTTTAAAGCGTACTGGACCCGATAGAAGGACAGAACCGACTCACTCTTATGTTGGAGCCGAACCCGAACCCGCCGCTGTTTTCATGCCGCAAATGGTGGCGGCGGTGATGAAGAAACGCTCTGCTTCTCCTCTTCCTCCTCACCTGCTCAGGTACATCAGGAAGTGGCACCGAGCCACAGGGTTCGGCGATGGGAGGAGTCCGGTTCCGCCCAAAGCCTGCAAGTTTGGAGGATCATGAACGCAAACAGAGAAGCAGAAAACAAGTTGGGAAAGAAAAGGAGCAGCCCGGATTTCATCAACTGGACCGGAACCGAAGCAGAACTCAAGCAGTTCGTTCACTGAAACATGGATGGTTTTGGGCTGAACATGTTCCGTTAGTGCATTCCTCCACCAATAAACAGCTTTTTGTGTTTGGAGATCCAAAAACTTTACAATCAAAAAATATCACTAATTTTAGTCAAATTGTAGAAACTTTACTTTGTAAACTTCCTTCAATTCCCATGTAGGAAATGATTTTCCAGCACAGCAGAAAATTATTCAGAATATTTCATCTGTTTAAAACCAGAAAGTTTTCAGAAATGACAACAACGAGTTTGACTCCAAATGTCTCTTTAATGTCTGTTAACACAATCAGTCGGACTGGAAACACCAGATCACGAAGCTCAGAGCGAGACCCGGCTCTCCATGAGACCCGGCTCTCCATGAGACCCGGCTCTCCATGAGGACCGGCTCTCCATGAGACCCGGCTCTCCATGAGACCCGGCTCTCCATGAGGACCGGCTCTCCATGAGACCCGGCTCTCCATGAGGACCGGCTCTCCATGAGACCCGGCTCTCCATGAGACCCGGCTCTCCATGAGACCCGGCTCTCCATGAGGACCGGCTCTCCATGAGACCCGGCTCTCCATGAGGACCGGCTCTCCATGAGGACCGGCTCTCCATGAGACCCGGCTCTCCATGAGGACCGGCTCTCCATGAGACCCGGCTCTCCATGAGGACCGGCTCTCCATGAGACCCGGCTCCATGAGGACCGGCTCTCCATGAGGACCGGCTCTCCATGAGGACCGGCTCTCCATGAGGACCGGCTCTCCATGAGGACCGGCTCTCCATGAGACCCGGCCCGGACCACGGGTCCCGTGTCGGGCTGCTCCCCTCGGGTCACAGTGGGACTCGCCGGGTCAGGGCAGGCCATTGGGTTCTGAAGAACAAACAGGAATGTGGTTGAGCTCAGAGCAACAGCTGAGTGGATTTTCCTTCATGACAAAAGTGCAGGTTTCACTGAGGACCAGAGATTCTTCAATTCTCAGAGTAAAGTCGAGGACAACGGTTGTTCATCACTTTGTTTTGTGCCCACAATTAGTTTGGATGAACACACAGGTCTTTTGGACCCGACTGAAACTTTGACTTTACTTGGCCGCCTGGAGACCATGAGGACGGTCCAGTTAACAAATAGATGTACAATATCACTTTAGCCCTACAATGGTGAGTCAATTGGTCCAAAAATACACATAGTTCAGGTAAAAATGATGCTGTACATTATTAGGTCCAACGTGACAAAGGAGGAAAAAAAACTTTGCAGATGTGAGAATCACAAAACCCCAAACAATATTTTTGGACACTGTTTAGTGAAGGATCTTCTGTGAGCATCGCAAACACCTTTCCTGGATCTGCAGTTTGTCATGGAGGAACTTCCAACTTGTGACTGTTTGCTGGAAACATTCAGGAGGAACCTGCAGACTGGAACATCTGCAGGACTTTGTCATTTTCATGATGGTGATCTGATCACTTTCAGATCCACCTGGAGTCTGTGAAATAGCACCATGTGATCCTGTGGGCGTGGCCAAGCCCTACAGCTTGACGGACAGGTGCATCGTCCAATCAGAGAGTTCCTAACCAGTAGCATTCTTGGTCTATGAAGGATGAGTTGGCACCAAGCCCAGCTGATCTTCCAGTCCATTTAGCAATCACAGATAAAATATTATTTAGATATATTTATATATGTATATTTCTATTCAACATCATATCCACTTTCATTTATACACTATTTACTAGAACCATCTTCTTTTAGATTAAAAAATATCATTTGGAAATGTATCAAAAAGCTGATGAATAATGAGCTGAGACATCAATCACTGCTCACTGACCGAGACGTGAAACAACTTTTCACTGTTTGGACTTTTACATATTTTAGCAGCATGCTGAACATTATTGGGGACATCAAAAACAGCTAAAGCTTCAACATGGAGGAACATGCCGAGAAAAGCAGAAGCTCATGTGGAAACAAACAGACAAAAGCTCAACAGCTTTCCAGAAAGCAACAGATTGTTTCAGCAGAAAGACGCAGCCGTCTGAATCAAAGCGTCAGGACTTCCTGAGACGAGTTGGGCTTATAGATTCCTTGGGACAAAAGAAGAAGAAGGAGCTTGTCTAAAACTGCATTCAGCTCCAGCAAGGTTTCATCCAGATGTGTGCAGACTTCCAGTGAAGCTGCCACAAACAGAAAATAAAGTAATAATGGCCTGTGCCTCAGGTTTGGCTGTTGGAGTCACATGAACTTTTAAAGAACCAGAACTGAAGCGACCCAACTGCAGAAAGAACAACACCAGCCCAATAGAGAATGATCGTATTGTAGTTCAGTTAAATGAGGACTAGACACTTTGATTCAGCTGGTTGATCCTAACAGGACAACATTGGAGATTTTCTCTCCTCTAACATTCAAGATCTCAGCTCTGGACCTCAGGAGGAATTCTAGGATCTGATGGAAAGACGCAAACGTTCAGCTTGACTCGTATTTGAAATGAAAAAGGGCCGTATCCTTTCATTGCCGTGTGGACAGAGTTGTCTAAATGCCACTCAACAAGCTGACTGAACAATGTTGTGTCATATTAGTGTAACCTTGGTTTCGGTTACATGTTGCTGTTGAAGAAGCTGCCAGCGAGACAAATGCAAGGTGTATTTGGACCAGAGCAGAACTTCTTTTATCACTGGATCCTTTTCAGTTGTTTCGAAAACTTTTCTCCCACCACCGCCGAGTTCACTCTGGACATTTCCTGCTGCTGCCGCTCGGAAGCCTCACCAAACTGAAACAAGCCTCGTTCGGATGCAAAATGTGTGGCTCTGTTTCAGCGATTATGCTCCCAAAAATCTAAAAAGTTTCAACAAATTGCATGGAAAAGAAACTTCACCAACCTGAGCTGTTGGTGAAGTTTCTTTTTCTTCTCTCGTTTTTGGAGAGGAGTTAAAGAAAAGAAACTTAGGAGCCAGAATCAAACTGAAGTTTTAGGGCAGAAATGATGCTCTCTAAAATGGCCATGAGAGGGCGACAGAGAGAAATGTTGGAAATTACACTTTAGTTTGGATTGAAGCCAAAACATTTCTGATTATTTAAATGCTTCCAGCATTTATTTCTACCTGTGAACACCATCAGTCGGACAATTGATCTTCTCAATTTTATATATTAGTTGATTTTCCTATTTTTCACTGATTCTTTGAAAAAATTAACATTCCAAGGCAGAAATAAATAATAATAAAACATTGCTAATAATTCAAACCCACAAAGACAGAAGACAGAAGAAAACAGGAAGATGTTTCATCAGCAAAGTTGAAGTTAAAGGCTAAGTTGTTCTGATGCCTCCTGTCTATCACAAATGAGAGATTACACATTTCCTCCAAGCTTGGTGTAACTTTGCTTCTATTTGACACTGAAATCTCTATTAAACTAAGATCAGAGTAAACATATCAACAGACTTCCTTGAAGAAATCGGTTCTGTGTCTCTGACTTTACTGGAAATGCCACAAACCAGAGATGGGGAAATGGATCCAGGGGAAGTTCAGGCTGTTCACAGCAGAAACAAACTTTCAGAACCAGAACAAACCTTCAGTACCAGAACATTCAGTACCAGAACAAACCTTCAGTACCAGAACCTTCAGTACCAGAACAAACCTTCAGAACCAGAACAAACCTTCAGTACCAGAAAACCTTCAGTACCCAGAACAAACCTTCAGTACCAGAACAAACCTTCAGAACCAGAACAAACCTTCAGTACCAGAACAAACCTTCAGAACCAGAACAAACCTTCAGTACCAGAACAAACCTTCAGAACCAGAACAAACCTTCAGTACCAGAACCTTCAGTACCAGAACCTTCAGTACCAGAACAAACCTTCAGAACCAGAACAAACATTCAGTACCAGAACCTTCAGTACCAGAACAAACCTTCAGTACCAGAACCTTCAGTACCAGAACAAACCTTCAGTACCAGAACCTTCAGTACCAGAACAAACCTTCAGTACCAGAACAAACCTTCAGAACCAGAACAAACCTTCAGTACCAGAACCTTCAGTACCAGAACAAACCTTCAGAACCAGAACAAACCTTCAGTACCAGAACCTTCAGAACCAGAACAAACCTTCAGTACCAGAACCTTCAGTACCAGAACAAACCTTCAGAACCAGAACAAACCTTCAGTACCAGAACAAACCTTCAGTACCAGAACCTTCAGTACCAGAACAAACCTTCAGTACCAGAACCTTCAGTACCAGAACCTTCAGTACCAGAACAAACCTTCAGTACCAGAACCTTCAGTACCAGAACAAACCTTCAGAACCAGAACAAACCTTCAGTACCAGAACCTTCAGTACCAGAACCTTCAGTACCAGAACAAACCTTCAGAACCAGAACCTTCAGTACCAGAACAAACCTTCAGTACCAGAACCTTCAGTACCAGAACAAACCTTCAGTACCAGAACCTTCAGTACCAGAACCTTCAGTACCAGAACAAACCTTCAGTACCAGAACCTTCAGTACCAGAACAAACCTTCAGTACCAGAACCTTCAGTACCAGAACCTTCAGTACCAGAACAAACCTTCAGTACCAGAACCTTCAGTACCAGAACCTTCAGTACCAGAACCTTCAGTACCAGAACCTTCAGTACCAGAACAAACCTTCAGAACCAGAACCTTCAGTACCAGAACAAACCTTCAGAACCAGAACCTTCAGTACCAGAACCTTCAGTACCAGAACAAACCTTCAGTACCAGAACCTTCAGTACCAGAACAAACCTTCAGTACCAGAACCTTCAGTACCAGAACCTTCAGTACCAGAACAACCTTCAGTACCAGAACCTTCAGTACCAGAACAAACCTTCAGTACCAGAACCTTCAGTACCAGAACAAACCTTCAGAACCAGAACACACAGCACCTTCACTGAAAAGAGGAATCATTCTTTTCATGTGTGCAGAATCTAACTGTTGTTTGAGAAGCAGCTGCAGCTAAGAAGAATCTCAAGACTTTCATCTCCACACTCCAGAAACTCTGGAGCATCTCCAACATATTGTTAGCGCCATCTTCATCTACAGAAAACAGATGGGAGCCACAGAAATATCACAAAAACCCGGAGAAGTGATGCTTTTGCTGTGATTTCTTTTTTTCTTTTTAACCACTGATACACAAACACACAAGCTAGCAGCGATGCAGCGCAACAAACGGTCTCAGAATCTACAGCAAGCTCAAACACAAGAGTTTACAACCATGGAACAGTAGTTTGGTCTTTTTTTGATTTAAATAAAGCATTTAAAGCATAATTTCATATTTAAGCAATAAAAAATACAGAACATCTCAATACTCCAATAGTAACTCTCACATTAATATTGTGCTCATTGGGATTCTAGTTCTAAGAATTTCATTTATATACCTATATATGAACACACACACACACACACACACACACATATATATATATATATATATATATGTGTGTGTGTGTGTGTGTGTGTGTGTGTGTGTGTGTGTGTGTGTGTGTGTGTGTGTGTGTGTGTGTATTTTTGCTAATAGTTTGTCATGCTGTCAGGACTTTGCTGCACCTCCTGCTATAAACAGTGCAAATATATTTTCTGTATGATTGGTCGATGCATACATGATCACTGTGGCTGATGGATCATGGAAGGCAGTATGTGGTCAATGTTTAAATATAATGAGGCTGACAATTAGCACCACAGGGAAACCAGAAGATTACCCACTTCAGAACTTCAGAAGGAACAATACACCCCCAAGAATGGACAAATGTTCTGGAAGGACAGTGAGCTTCATGTGTTCCCTCCAGGTTAATAACGGCATAATTATCCTGGAAACAATGATCTGCTGTAGATTTTCAGAGTTTCCCATTTATCTCAAAAGGCTGAGAAGGTTGAATAAAGTCCACGTAAGAATCATGACTATACTAGAAAACACTGGAACAACATCTTTAAAACTCTAAAAGGGGGAACTCACACCAGATTATTCAAAGGTCAATTTCATCCAGAAGTGATGATAATCTGCTGTAGAACCATAAGACCCATCATCAGGTCTACAAGGGTTCAGAAGTTTTCTTCATGTGAAGAATTACCTCAACAAGGACTGATGGGTCATCCCAGCCTTCGTAAATGGCCAAAGGTTCAAAAGGCCCGTTTACATCAGGAACTCAGACAACAGCAAAACAGTTTGCTGTAGAACTCCTAGAGACATTCACTCTGCAAGATCAACAATGTTGTTTTAACCACAAGAGCAGGAAATGTGACTAATTCATTAAAGACCAATTGGAAGTTCTCTGACTAAGACAGCTTCAGAAATTGAGATGTACAATCCAAGTTCACAATCAAACCAATCGCAAGGCTTCTGCTTCAGAACTCCAAGATGTATTATCCACTTCAGAAGGCCAAGAGGGATGAGCTCCTAGAGTTGAAGGTAGATGACTAGACCACAAAAGGCCATCAACTTCACAACTCCAGAGGGACCGATCATTTCATGGTTGGGGGCTGTATTGTTGTTCCAGAAGTTCAAAAAGGATGATTCAGTGTAGAAGTCCAGGTTGGCTGATCCTCAGTGATCTCCTCCAGGAAGCACTTTAGTGGAAATGTGGATCTGGGCGATGAACGCAGGACGAAAGGGTAGTGGACAAACACACAAATAAAGAAAACCCTGTTAAGTCCTGGTGGTCATCAGGAGACGCTGCCATTTAGATCATTGGCACAGTTCAAGGTACTTAACCAACTGCTAGAACAGCTACGGTAACTCCTGATTTTAAAAGGTGCAGGTCAGTTAAGAGTAGCTGGTCACTGCCGCCTGTTTCTGGGCCAGCCGTCGCAGCTCCTCCCTGATCGCCTTGATGAGAGAGGCGGATGTGTGGGCAGATGGAGAGGCATCCTCTGGTGGATATTCTGGGGTGGGCGAGGTTAAGAGGAGGGGTGGAGCCGATGGGTCTCGTAACGAAGAGCTGGGCATTTGAAAAACAGATGAAGAGGAGAACTCAGGGAACGACAGCACCTGGAGAAAATACAAGGATGAATTAATTCCCAGCAAATGGAGCAAGGGTGTAGATTAGAACAACGTTCAGAGCATCTTTAGCATCACATAGCACTTTTTTTTATGAAGAACTTTGAAAAGAAACAACAAGGCTGACATGTCTGTTGTCAGTAACATCACTGGTAGGTTAGAATTAAACTTGATATTTACAGTCTTGCACCCCAAAAGTTCCTGTCACAGTCAGTTAACCAACAGAACCGTTCTGTGTGGTCTGGATTTCATCTGTTTCATGACTTACACTCTCTCTGCTACCTCCAGGTCTGGATAGGTCCTGGTCTGAGTGCTGCTGGTGCCAGCTGGAGCCAGTAGGTCCAGACATGCTGCGACCGACTCCAGGGTACGCACCGATCTGACTGGACAAACCCACTTGAGTCAGATGGTGAAGCTGTGCCCCTGGAGGGTAACAGAAAAGACACAGACAAGACAATAAAGGCCCCCACATACTCGAGTGTAGGAGGTTTGCGTCGACTCAAAGTGGACGTCCGCCGGACACGTCCATGTAAAGATCCATTTTTATGACCTGGTGGAAATATTGTTCACATCAAACTGGTTTTGAAGAGACACCAAGCTGCTGAGGTTGAGAGTAGGGGTTACATCAGTTCATATTATTTTAAAGTCAACATCAACATGACATGGTGATGTCACAGAAACACAAGCGAAAACATCCTTTATTAGCTACATTTACACAAATCTTGCCATGGTGTATAATACAGAAAGCAGAGCAAAGAAGATCGAGCTCTTGCATTTAAATGTTGGCCTCATCAAAAACAGCTCTGAATAAAATGTTGCCCTTACTGGTTTCTTTTACTTGTAAAATACGGATAAATATACTATCTTCGTGTGTCGTGAACATATTGGAATTTTATCTTTTTTTTACTCAAACAACAGCAATGGTGATTGAGTATATACTCATTTTGGATAGCTGCACAAATTATTACGTTGACCAAAATTGTGCTTCTGGAACATAATAAACTAAGCTTATTTTGAACAGATCCTGTTTGATTACAGTTGAATTCATAGATCTTCTCCCCCAATGAGCAGCAGGACACTCAGCTGACTCAGCAGCGGCTCTCTCACTTTGCGGGATGAACAGACATGTGACAACCATTCTCAGTGCCACACTGACAGGTCGGTGTGTTGAGGTTTCCCAGAAGGAGAAGAAACAAAGCTAGGCTCCCAACTAGCTCATCAAACTTGCTGGTATCTACTAGGATTGCGGTAAATAAAGAAATTTGTCTCAAGAAAATTTTAGGCCATCAGTGAATATAAAGTCTCAACCCTCCGCGATCAGTATGCGCGGAGTATGCACAGCTCACAGAGTGCAGACAGTTTGCCTGACTAAGTGGGGGGATTAAGAGTATTACTGGGTCACCAATTTAAGAGAACTGGAGCAGGAGAGTGGTGACTCTTTTCTGTCTGCAGAGTGGTCTCAAAGCGCAGAAGGCTGGATGTTTGCTCATTGTACCTGTACTGCCCCCTACAGGTCGGGGCCTGGAGGATGAAGGAGGGTCTTCATACTTCCCCCTGTTGGAGTACACCGACTCCTGCAGTTGTTCTCCAGTGGAAACATATCCTCCGGAGCCCAGGCCCTGCCTGATTGGGACACAGACACACTGGGTTAATCTTTCAGTTTACAGACCTGGGTGTGTTTCTAAGGGTCCAGATGAAGTTGACCTCTGCAGCAGACCCTGGATGGATGTAGGGGAGACTCCCAACTCCGCATATCTCTGCGGACAAAAGTAGAAACATTTCACAGGGCATAACTAACATATTTGATCTCAGTGTGGAAAATAAATTGTTAGGGTTGAGTGGCTGCAGGGTAAGAATCCAACTGCCCGTCACCCGGCTCACTCACCACACCGCTGGTCTGTGAAGACGGTGATACCAAGGCGAAGGCGTCATCCAGCAGGGAGTGCATCTGCTGCCGGGCTTCCTCAATGGAAGGCTGGGGGGGCATGTAAGGAGGTGGAGCTGGGGCTGAGTCAAAAACCTCATCAGTAGGGGAGGGGCTGCCGTGGTCTGGGGGCATGTCAGGGTCCGACTGCCAGGAAACAGATCAGAGAAGATGTTCAGCTGTGATGGTTCTTAACGGAACCACCAGGGAATCTGAATCGGACAGGTAAGACAAATTTGATCATATCATAAAGACATCAGACCAGTCCTCAGCTGAACTGTGGTAGTCATACCAACCAGCGTAACACAAACAGCCTCGCTGTGCCTCACTTATCCTCGTGACGAGTAAGATTGGTTATAACAGTGACAGAAAGGGTGAGGGCTGTCTATTTATCTATCATTTTATTTTTGATAAGATTAGAGATTTAGAAATGATAAAAATGTGCCCCTCTGGCACAAAGTGCAGCAGGTACTCTTCTGCTTCACATCAGACAGAGTGATAAAAGTCGGCCAAATGTCAGAATACAAATATTCCTAAACAGCTTTTCTCTTTGGTTTGCGGGTGAGATCACTGAGAATGTGAACATTGAATAAAACAATGAAACAGTTGAATGTACTCTGCACAGTTCTTCCCCATTTTCATAACCACCTCATAGTACAAGCCCGCCAAGCTGTGTGCCAGCAATTTGAGTGGCAACAGACTGCATGTTTAATTGGTCTGCGATTTCCATCAATGCGGGTCGGACCTCGCAAACTCCAAACATCTCAACCACTGCAGTGGACCAGCAGACATCAGGCAGCTGTTCAGTGTGGAGGAGAGTAATTATGAGGTTAATTTAACCGCAGTCAACATGGTCAAAGATGGAGGATGAGGAGAGAAGTTCATCTGGACCGCTGCCTGATGGAGCCGCTGTACGACCCTTAACCCTAACCCTTCTGCCATCTATTGGAGCAGGATGAGCTGCAAGCCGTACATCTGTGATGTAAAACACCAGAACCGGAGCATCAACTTTGCATGATGTACATATTGTTATCCATCACTACGCTGGCGTGATTCTCCTCCTCCTGGTGACATTGTGAGGAACACAGAACTTCACTCTGAACATTTTCAGTGACAGGAAGTTGACCTGCAATCTGACATAGACCGCCCACTAATGCAGACCTATTCATAACATTCTTCTCTCATTGTGATTGGTCCAGTTCTGTTTGACAGATGTTTCCTGATGAGTGGCACGACTGATTTTACCGACTCATTTCCAGCTCCATAGCAAATGATTAAAAGCATTTTCACAAAACTGTGCGGCTCCAATATTGCCCACAATGGGCTGATTTGTGGTTAACTTTGGTTTGTCCCACCATGTACGCTACATTGTTGAGTCCAGGGTACTTCCTGTAGGTGGCGCTCTGGTCTGTGAGCAGTCGATCTCTGTCTGTATCTGGAAGACTTCCCGGTCCTTGATGAGGCCTCCGGCCCCGAGGAGAGCGCCTCCCTCTGGAGAGAAAAAACACACAAGGATCTGATTCAGCTTTGTGCTACACTGGATAATCTACCTTTAAATTATCAAGTGTTGCTTTGATTATTTCCTTTGAGACTAGAAATGCAACATTAGTCCAGAGAAGCATAAAACAGATTCAGCGAAGTTCGATTTAAGATCCTCAGGGTCCAAATAATCAGAAATGAAACAGGTAACGTCTTTGACTTCATTTATAACATTCATTTATCAAAGTAACCAGATCATTTTACTCTCTGGGATAACTAACACAGATTTATCCCAGTTCAAACTCCTCAGCTCAGATGTCGTTGGCCAACCCTGACCTTTTCCTGGAGTCGGCAGGGGTCAGGGGTGAGGCTCCCTCGGCCTGAAGGATGCAGTCCATGTGGTCGTGGGCGGAGCTGTAGAGCCGCTGGGCCGCTTCGCTCTGAACCGGCCCGTCTCCGAAAGCATCCATGATGTCGTCCATGGAAGGAAACTCACACTGGCCCCGCCTCTTTGCACGTTGGCGCAGTTTGTTCCTGTGATGTTCGATCTCAGACTTGTGCCTTAGCGCCACCTGTTGGACAACAGCAGATATGCTTTATTATGATTTATGGCAGTGTGTGGATTATGTGCCTGACCTACCCCAGTATTGACCTTTTCAGTGAGGGAGGGGCTCGGCTGTGGCGGGCCGGGAGCCGCGGGCGGACTTGGTCGCGGCTGCATGGCAATAAGTTGCACCTTGTTGGCCTGGCGACGGGTTCCATCTGAAGAGCCACGGGAGAGACGGTCAACATGGTCAAAGATGGAGGATGAGGAGAGGAGTTCATCTGGACCGCTGCCTGATGGAGCCGCTGGAGGCAGAGGAACAACTGACTGATCAGGAAACTGTTCAAACCCAAAAGGAGTGTCTGACTCCCAGGAGGAGCCAAAAAATCTTTATTATTTCACACACATCAATCAATCAAGCACCTGGTAGCAAGTAGAGCAGCTAAATCTACAAGTATTTTATATTCTAATGCCTTCATCATTTGGGAAATCAGAGAACATTCCCTGAACAAATTGGAGAAGCCTGAGGACGCCGCGGTCTTGTTGGCTTCGGGTCGATGGGGACAGTCGGCAGCAAGAGGTGGACAAAAGTCTCTGGATGTCCAGTGGAGTCTACAGAGGACCCGACCCGACCCGACCCGACCCGACCCGACCCGACCCGACCCGACCCCAGTCACAGCCAAATGTCTTTCATGTGTTCATTTGAATGTGAAAGTAGTGTGGTGGTGAACTGATCACCGACTCAACGACAAACACATGGTGACAACCAGAACCAAACTATTTATGTATATGCGAAACTCACACACATTAATTACTTAGAAACTAAAATATGTCAAAATAATTGTGAAAGAATAAGTAATTAGTGAAATGAAGCACCGAAGCAACCTATGAAGTAAAAACTGGTGATTTTACTTGCAGTCTAATTAGAGTTTAGCTTTAAGATCTAAACTAGATGATCTTCCAACTTGACTTTTTTGTTTAAGAAAAGTTCAAAATTGTTGTTTTTGCAGTTCAGTCCAAACATCAATATTGTTTCATAAGACGGAAATAATCAAAACCCACAAACAACGTCCCATCAAAAGTCTGTTCCAGACCCCTGATAGCAACATAGAACAGAAGCAACATTTTCCACATCAAATTTTCACTGGAGAAATGTATTTATTGGGCAAAATTTTGGAAATATTTGAAAACTGAATCTCTTCAGTTTTAATTAAAGACAGAAAGTAAATTTGATGAATTATTAGAATCACTTCCATTATTGCCATAAAGACCACCACACTCATGGCTGCTGCCATGTTGCTGCTAAAATGTGTTTTGTATTTCTCAACATGTTGAGTAGTGTTGTATGCTTACCCTACACTGCCCCCTAGAGTCTAGGAGAGGATGGGACGCAGTGGGACAAGCCGTGCAGAGTGAAGTGCTGATTCCGTGTCTGTTTCTCGCGTGATGCACATTGGTCAAGCAAAAACAAGCTGAAGAGCTCCATGTTTTGCATCCTCCCAGCATCAGTGGAGATGCTGCACATCTCCTCCTGTCATCCCACACAATCAAATTGATTTTTAAAAACTCAGCTGAGGAGGATGTTACTGTTTAAACTTGTGTTTGATTCAAGAGTTGAAGCCAGGTCACATGCAGCTCATCTGTGGGAGTTTTTGATGGGATTTTTAGGTTTTTTTACCCAGTTGCTTAGTTTCCTGGTTGCTTCTCAGTGGTCTGCATTCAGTTTCTCAGTCTCATCTGTTTCCTTGTCCAGTAGTCACCTTCCTCAACATAAATACCCCCAGATTCCTTCAAATTATTGCCAGATCCTTCTGGAATCATCTGCTTCAGAATAAGCAAGTTGAAGCTAGTGGAAGTGAAGGATGTGGCAAGTAATAAAAATAAAAGTAGCAATAAAGAGTAAAGTATTAAACTTACCTATTTTGCTCCTCCCTTCATTCATGGGTGCAATAAATAGAAAAAAGGAAAGAAAATTGATCAGAAAACAGTATGTTGATCTGCTCCCCATTATCCTAATATGTGACTCCTTCCTTCTCAAGGTTTACATGATGACATCACCAGGTCTTACCATTTTTAGGGGCATTCCTGTGGTGTTTGCCCTCACTGGGCGTGGCTACGGGTCTGGTGCTTTCCTCTGCCGACTCCCTGCCGCTGGACTGCTCACTTCCTAACGAGTCTCCATCTGAAGGACTTAGCCTAAGGAGAACAATGTCTGAGTCCAGCAGCTGGTTCAACATAAACTGCATTGATAGGTGGAAAAATGTTGCTGAGGACTTTTCTGAAAGGCTTGTAGTCGTTTTGAGATATCAGGGGCAAATCTAAATCTTCTATCCAGACAACAGGAGAATCATTTTCAAGTTGAATGTTTGTTTGACGTGACAAAAGGAGCAGAAATGTTTAGCAAACGCAACTATTTCAAGAAGTTTTACAGGAGTTCTCTGACCTTCCCCTGCGGCGACTTGAACGCGCCGCTTTAGTGGACGATCCTTTGGACTTGGGAGTGTTGAGGTCTCCGCCGTCGGAGGGCGTGGCCTCTTTTGTTGGGGCAGGCAGTGGACCCGTCTCATGGATCACCATGATGTCGTCTTTACTGTGCTGACCAAGATGGAGCTTTGCAAAGTCAAAGCCTTTAACACTAGGAGCTTGAAGCTGCAGAGGACACCAGTGTCAGACTTGAACTCATTTCCATCTCAACCAGAGGAAATCTACCACTTCCAATTGTACCTTCTGCCTCTGCTGGATGGTGTTGATGGCATCCGGTTGAAACTCAAGCTTTTCAGAGCCACAAAGCTTCCAGTAGAGAATGATAATAATGAAGATAGCCAGTAGGACAGGGACAACCACCCCTACGATCAACCAAATGCTGCTGCTCTGAGTCTCAGCCGGAGGAACCGAAAAAGTCTCTACAGCTGGACAAAGGACAGGAAGAGATGAGTGTGACCTGATGCCTCAGATTAAAACCCCTGGAACATCTGGCTCTGATCCAGCTTCTCACTCACGTTGAGCCAGAGGCCTTTGGACTCGGTGTCCAAGGACGATGGCGGCCCTCTGAAGGTCCAGGTGGTTCATGGTGGCTGCAGTTACCTCTGCTGGGACCCTCTCCCCACCCGGACCCTCTACGAAGTAAAACACCTCCAGGGGGCGCTCTGGCCCGGAGAGCCTGGATATCCGCACCACCTGACACACAACCGTTGGGATTTATTACCTGTGACAGAATTTCCAAGCCGACCGATTCCACCTTAGATACAGAAGGTCTCCACAGGAAGTCCTGCATCTGAATGCATATTTGGTTTTCTCATGAGGAACCACAATGAAGAATTTATCAAGAGATGGTTTTTGATTTTGTTTTAAAACTTAACATTGTATTCAATGTGTCTGTTGTCAGAGCAGCCCATCTATAGATAGATAGATAGATAGATAGATAGATAGATAGATAGATAGATAATAGATAGATAGATAGATAGATAGATAGATAGATAGATAGATAGATAGATAGATAGATAGATAGATAGATAGATAGATAGATAGATAGATAGATAGATAGATAGATAGATAGATAATAGATAGATAGATAGATAGATAGATAGATAGATAGATAGATAGATAGATAGATAGATAGATAGATAGATAGATAGATAGATATTCACTAGAGACCTTTATTCAACAGTAATCTGACAGAGGGAGGTGAAGCCAGGCCGTCATTCTGCCACGTGATGCAACAGATCATTTCAGTTTATTGAGGAAGCGCCAATTCACAACAAGTGTCATTTTGAGACAGTTTACAAAAAAGTCCTTCATATTGAAATGAATCATCTTACTGTTTGTTTCATGTTTTACCTGTAAACTGTGGTTGCCCACAGCGGTTGCTCTTCTCCAGCGCCTCCTGCTGCTGGTCTCCTGCAGTCCTTCGTCCAGTAGCACAGCCAGTCGTCTCTCCAGACGAGCTTTAAAACTCCTCTCAGCGACCTGCTGCTCATGAACACCCAGCAGGACTGAAACAGCACAGAGCACAGAGAAAAACTCTCAGACCTGCAGGTTTGACCTTTTTAAACCTTCTTTATGGAGAGCCGAGCTGCGTCTGTACCTGTACGGACCCAAGTGTCCCGCAGGTGGTGGGACATATTTAGCTCAGGATAGTGGGAGGCTGTGAACACAAGCATTTCAAAATTAAACTCACATTTGTTACAGTGTTTAATAGTTTGATCTGTTTTCAAACTGAAGTGTGGCTCAACTATTCAGCGATCTGAAGGTTGACGTACGTTCTGCAATCTGCAGAGCAGGAAATCCAACGTAGAAGCTGAACTCCACCAAGCTGAGCTTCCTCAGGTGTTCGCTAACCTCTGACCCCGCCAAGTAGCCCCTCCCATCTCGTACAGCAAAAGTGATGTCAACAGGAACCTTCTGTCCCACTGCTGGCCAGACTTTGCTCATTGTGATGTTCAGCAGCTGTGTGAGGAAGTCAGAGACGTCACTATCTGACCTGATATCAGCGCCTCAATTATTGGTGAGACTCACCTGGACGGTGATGTTTCCTGTCTCATGTGACCTTCGTCTGCTCTCTGCATACGCCATTATCAGCCCTCGCTCCACCCTTTCACTGAAGTTGCAAATCCTGACGTCAACATGGGTGGGAACAAACTGCAGCACCGAGTGGATCTGGTACCAGAGGTCAGGTATGGTGTAGAGGGGGAAACTGTAGGAACGGCGCCTGAACTGCGCGGTGACTGACGGAGAGCGTTGATGACAGATACAGCAGTGAATATCAGGGGTCCAGACACGACACGAAAGGCAAAACTGGATGGAGTTCTCAGGAACTGAAAAACAGAGCAGAGAAAATCAAGTTTGTCTGGGTCGTCCTGGAGTCAGAAAATACTGACCAAACTCCTCCAGATGAAATCATGCTGGAGTTGCTGAGCTTAGTATAGCACTAACTGTACTTATGCTGCTGCTTCCTAATAACACGGAACCAGCTTTGAAGCCAGCGACCGTACATGGGTTCACATGATTACCTGCAGCTCTACTGAGCGGTTGAACTCTCTCCTCAGGACATCACGGACATGACTGAACCCGGCCGATGAGCCTTTAGAACTCACTGCAGAACAGACAAGTTCATCATGTGGCTGAAAAGAGAAGCATCACTTCCTGCCACATGCAGGCTGGGGGAACTTACCCACTCTGACCAGGTACAGCTCAGGCTTAGTGACGTTGCACAGATACTGTCTGCTGAGCGGAGTCTGGGCCTCTTTGGGTGTGGTAACTGGGGGCCCTCTGGTGAGGCTGATGGAGGAAATCTGGGTGGTGGTTGTTATGGCTGGAGGTTTTGCTGTTTTTTCTGTGATCACTGATGGTCTTCCTGGTTTGACAGGCCGAACCGGTGGTCCCAGTGAGGGAGGGGGTGGCACCTGGCTGGTAGTGTTAGATGGGGGACGAGGAGGGAGGCCTGGACCACGGACTTTGGTTTTTGGAGAAGGTGGAGCAGGAGTGGAAGGGGTTTGGGAGGTGCTTGGTAGAGTAGGTGGCTTTTCACTTGTAAGAGCAGGTGAGGGAGTGAGGGGAGGGAAGGGTCCAATTGAGGGATGTTTATGATCTAGATCTGGTGGAGGCCCACTGAGGGTTGGGACTGGGGTCAGAGGAGAAAGGTGAGTTTGTGTTGTTGTGGGAGTAATGGAGGGTCTGAACTTGGCACCATGTATCTGCTCCTCCTTCTCCCTCTCCTTTTCCTTCTGCTTTTCCCGGGCCAGAAGGTTGGTGTAGTACTCCAGACTATTCATGTCCGGTAGCAGCACCTCCGTCGGTTCCAGAGGCATCATGTCCTCAGGGTCATATTCCTCATCCCATGTGGAAAAAACGTCCAGATGGGCAGTGTGGGTGTGCAGGGGAACGGTAGGGGTGGAGGAGGGGGTGACGGAGGGACGGGAGAACAGAGGGAGGGTTGGACGGGCTGGGAAGGCCGTGTCATAAGAGACCCAGTCCCCATCAGAGTCGGCATCCCAAGGGTGGCTTGGTAGTGGCGTGGCAAGGCCCAGTTCTTCCCCGTCAGGGACCATGAAGGACAGAGTCTCCAGGTAGTCCCCAGAGCCCCAGGCTTCCTCTAGAGGGGGGCCCTGCTCCCAGGGGGGTGGAGGGGTGAGGGTGGGCTGGCTGTGTGGGGGGAGCACTGGGGGAAGACTGGGGGCCAGCAGGTCTGGAGGTCTCAGCAGTAGGTGGATGCCCTGAGCCCCGGCTTCCTGGTCCTCTGCTGAGTCGCCTCCAGCACTATTAGCATGGTAACCCATGCCTGAGGCCCCCCTGGGGGGTACGGGTGATGATGGAGGTGATAATGACCCCATTGTCCTGTTCAAATCCAACACACCTGTAGGGAATATAAGAAGAGAATGTGATGAACCTGACCTCTGAACCTTTCGTTGGGCCCCTGAAAGTCTCCGAGGGCAACAAACCACCCTAACTACCCTAACTACCCGAACCCAACCCCCCCCGAACCTTTATGACACAGACGTGTTGAATATGGAAATATTCTGGTCATAAAGAGGCGCTAGCCAGACTCATGGGGACCTGAGAGCTAAAGTATAAAGGGGATGTAAGACAGAACAGCTATAAAACAATCAAAAGGCCTTTGACTAGACAACTTCATTTAACCCTCTCAGGCTCAAATTACTTGCAAAGACTGGTTAAGTTGTTGCAAATCTGCAATACCTGCCTGGAGAGGGTTAAACATTATTTCCACCATTTTACAACAATGCTTGAATGGAACAATAAAACCAAATGATGATCTTGGGCTGCCAAACCGGTGCCCTGGCTTGTCGGCACCTTTTAGGATATTTGAAATGAACTGGTTGGTCTGGTCACGCCTCAGCTGCAGGGGTCCACTTGGTTCCTGCCAACCGTATCGGGTCGACAGGACGCTGTTACACAGAACCCAGGTTCATGGAGACGAGCCGCTCAGTGAAGATTTCTCTGCTATCTGGTCAGAACCAGAGCAACCATTAGACATGAGAGCAGGAAGCGAGTCGTGGATCAGAACGTCTCATCCCCAGGTTTTCAACGTTCATTGCTGTGGGTCAGTAAATGTTTCTGATGATAGCAGCTATTGTTATTTGATCCGACTGGTTGGATTTCCACAGACAGAAATGATTCTGAAGCACATGGATGATGGGATCTTCAATATCTGGACAATCATTAAATGATTAATAAGCAGAAAGTTCCTTTCAGTGCATGAATTAATAACTACTTACTGTACTTACAGTAGGTGGATGTCCAGATTTTTGATCATTTTTTTATATTTACAACCAAAAACTCATTTTTGCTCTGATGATTTTCAGTGATGGAAATCATCAGAGGCCTGTTCATAGATAGACGGTACCACATGGCCAGCTCTGCATCCAGAACCAGAACCAAACACGGAAAGGCAGCATTCAGCTTCTATGCACCACAGATCTAGAACAAACTTCCAGGAAACTGCAAAACAACCGAAACACTGAGCTCCTTTAAATCCAGAATAAAAACCCGTTGGGTTCCAGCTGCTACCCGGTCAGAACCAGAACCATTAGACATGAGAGCAGGAAGCGAGTTCATAACTGGAACAATTCATCATTTTATCATCATTTTTTAACACATCTGAGAAAAAGTTTTTTCCTCTTTGCTGTTTTCATGTGAAGCTGAATGTGAAAAAATACATTTGCCTTCCAGCCTCCAGTCGACAAATCATGACTCACTGAGAGTGTGTGTGTGTGTGTGTGTGTGTGTGTGTGTGTGTGTGTGTGTGACAACATGAACATAAAATCAGATTCCACATTCATGATGTCACCAACAGATGCAGGAAGTGAAACTCACCTGCAGCAGGTGAGCTTGTGGTCGTCATGGAAACCAGTGTGCCAACCACCAGAAACATCACAGCCATCGTTCGTCTGCATGACGCGGCTCTGGGGTCCATTCCGGTTCCGGTCCTGAAGCCGGAGCCCAGCAGGATCACGGGGTCCCACATCCTCAGAGGGCCGGCGGTCCGACGCTGGGAGCCAAGGGCCCGACCGGAGGACCTGGCAGCAGGAGACAGGATGCGTTGTCATAGCAATAAGGAAGCCACAGCTGTTTACACATCTTACAGCTTCCTGTTGACCCTTCACTGACCTCCAGAGGTTCTGCTCTCCCTGACCCGACAGAACCTGGAGTCTGCAACAGAACCTTAAAGGTTCTGGCAGCAACTGTGTCAACAGGAATCTGGTCCAAGGAGCAGAAGTTTCTCCAAGCAGGTGTGCCTAATAAAGTGGCCAGTGAGAGAATATCTGGACCTGGTGAATCGGGCCAAGGTTCTGCTTCTCTGAAGGTCCAAAAGGCGTCAAGTTAACATTTTAACAAGTTAACACAAAGATCAAAGATCAGATTCGAAACAACCAACTGGAATTTCAGTCTCTGAAAATCTGGACCGGTTCGGGTCTCTGAACCGGTTCGGGTCCGTTAGCTCTCTGGTTGTTTTGTCATGAAGCAGCTCCTGGTTTTTGCTTTCATCAATTTGGACCTGAAAGGTTCGGTTCAGGATTTCAGATCTGGTGATTGATCGGGGTTCGGTACCGGCCCGTATCTGATGTCTGAGGCCCGGCTCCTCACACCTCTGACGGTTCGGTCCGGTTGTCATCTCACATTGACCCAGTTATGAGCCCCATCGAAGCCATCCGGTCACTGCAGAACACCAGGGTCCAGATTCCTGACGGTTCCGGAACCGGAGACTCCTCCCTTCTGCATCCGAGCCTGAAGGCTCCGCAGCGGCCACAGAACCGCCGCTGCAGCCGCCTAAAGACACCGAGCTCCGGCGATGCACAACGGCCCCACGGATCCGAACCGAACCGAACCATCAGCACCACAGCAGGCTTTAAACCCTCAGCAAGCAGGCGGACCAACCTGCCATCCTGGAGATGCGGTTCGGGCGCGTCACGCCTCTCGACTCCGCGCCGTGGAGGAGGAAGAGGAGGAAGAGGAGGAAGAGGAGGACGTCCCTGCAGAATCTCTCCTTCCTCCTCTCGGTCCGCAGTCTTCCTCTCCTCCAGCAGATCCACCTGCTCCCTCCGACCCGGTTCTGTTGGAGTCGGTCCGACAGATTCAGGTCACGTCCAGCGTCAGTACCAACAGAACCATCTCAGGATGTTTCGATCCAAATGGGCGGCGTGCTCTATCTCCTCAGTGACACAAAGATGTTTATCCGACTGGACCCGTTTCTCCAGAACCGACCCAAATAGACGTGTTAACGGAGGCCTCTGATTGGTCGAAACATTCACTATTAGTCTGATACCTGGTTCCGCCAGAACCGACAGAGGGTCCAGAACGCTGTTGCTGGAGTTCTGACTAAACCCTGAAAAAAAACTACACCAGCTAGATCTACACCAGTTAGATCTACACCAGCTAGTTCTACATCACCTAGATCTACACCAGCTAGATCTACATAACCTAGATCTACACCAGCAAAATCTACATCACCTAGATCTACACCAGCTACATCTACATCACCTAGATCTACACCAGCTAGTTCTACATCCCCTAGATCTACACCAGCTAGTTCTACATCACCTAGATCTACACCAGCTACATCTACATCACCTAGTTCTACATCACCTAGATCTACACCAGCTAGATCTACACCAGCTAGTTCTACATCACCTAGATCTACACCAGCTAGATCTACATAACCTAGATCTACACCAGCAAAATCTACATCACATAGATCTACACCAGCTGGATCTACTTCACCTAGATCTACACCAGCTACATCTACATCACCTAGATCTACACCAGCTAGTTCTACATCCCCTAGATCTACACCAGCTAGTTCTACATCACCTAGATCTACACCAGCTAGATCTACATCACCTAGATCTACACCACCTAGTTCTACACCAGCTAGATCTACACCAGCTAGTTCTACATCACCTAGATCTACACCAGCTAGATCTACATCACCTAGATCTACACCAGCAAAATCTACATCACATAGATCTACACCAGCTGGATCTACTTCACCTAGATCTACACCAGCTAGATCTACATCACCTAGATCTACACCAGCTAGTTCTACATCACCTAGATCTACACCAGCTAGTTCTACATCACCTAGATCTACACCAGCTAGATCTACATCACCTAGTTCTACATCACCTAGATCTACACCAGCTAGTTCTACATCACCTAGATCTACACCAGTTAGTTCTACATCACCTAGTTCTACACCAGCTAGTTCTACATCACCTAGATCTACACCAGCTGGATCTACACCACCTAGATCTACACCAGCTAGTTCTACATCACCTAGATCTACACCAGTTAGATCTACATCACCCAGATCTACACCAGCTAGTTCTACACCAGCTAGTTCTACACCAGCTAGATCTACATCCTGCTGCTGTTCATCAATCACTGATCGATTGAGGGTCTGCTGCTGGATCAACACTGTAAAACATTTGAAGTTGGTTCAACTTGAAAATGAACATGAAAATTGTTTTGGTTTTAACTCAAACATGAAAGTTCATGAAATTGATTTATTAGTCAAGTTGTCTAAATAAGTTTATTCATCTTGAATTGTGAGTTTTAACTCAATGCTGCAGATTAAACCAAATATTTATTTAACAATATGAAAGAAAAACTGACCCGACCGAAACAGCTCACAATGTCAAGTTCAAATAATTATTTGACTTTATAATAATTAAAATTCTTGTTTCTAATAGCAAGAACAAAATTTCTGATCTGATTCATTTCACATAACATCACAACAAATTCTGCTCATAAAGTTTCATGTGGATATAACGTTACCCTCAAGCTTTAAAATAAACGTGAATAATCTTCCCTCTCAGGATACAAAAACATGCCGCTAAGCATTCTGGGAAATAGTTCCTACTCTTGTCTTCTTTGAGTTTTTGAAGTGCTAACCTAAAATGATAGTTAATTCAAATCTGGGAGGTTTGACAAAATGAATAAAAGTTTATTTATTACAGTAAGTTTATCTTTCAGAGACTCCAAATCGAAAACTTGTTCAATTTGACTTAAAGAGTAGAAGATGGTCGACAACTAAATGTGGCTCAAATGTTTTACAGTGAACCAAACATGAAGCATCATTCAGCTTCTATGCACCAAAGATCTGGAACAAACTTCCCTAAAACTAAAAAAAACAACCTGACTAAAACCAGCTGGTGATTTGCTTTTAAAACATAATCGATGGAATATTGATTATTACTCATCACCTTTTATTCCTCCTCTTCATCCTGCCAGTGATGCGACGTTTCTCTCCTGATGAATGTTTCATGAAAAAAATATGAAAAACTTAATAGAAACCAGAGTCGCTCAATCAGAGATTCTGGAACAAACGGATCGATTAGCGACAAAGAAAACAATAAAATCCAACCCAACAAACCACAAAAATAAATAAATACTTAACTAAAATAAGTAACAACTGACTGATATCATCAAAAAGAATAACTAAAGCAAACTGCAAAACAAATGATCAAAAATAAAATCCCCAAAAGAATGAAAGATCCTGACAGTTTGATGATTGTTTCTGTTTTTATCAAAGGTTTCATGAGTTTCATCCTAACAGGAATGAAAGATTTCGATCCAGGAAATTGTTGCCGTAATGGAGGAGAAGAGGAAGTGGATTTCTGGACTTCCTGTGGAGACGCTGCTCCAGCTTCTGCCTCCAACAATCACTAATAATTCACGTTTCCTGATTCAAGATATTCAACAGAAAGAAACTCATGGAAAATAAAGTCTTTGTTCTGAAAAAAGGATTTAGACAAAAATTCCCACCTAGTTTTTGTCTCCTTTTTTTAAAAGTTTGAATAATTCATTATACATCATAATTTCTAATATTTTTCTATTAGCATATTTAGAATAAAATAAAACAGAAATACTCCTTATTGTTGTATAATTTATCCATTAAAATGATGAAAACTTTCAGCCTTGGAAAAATTCTGCTTTGAGACATAAAACATTTTTATTAGTGCAGAAAATTACAGAACAAGCATCTGAGCTGAACTTCTGGATCAGAACCATGCAGGTTATTCATGTTCATAACGTCGCATGCAGAATGACAGTTCAACATCGTTTTCTGATAAACAACTACGACTCAATCCTTCTAGGTTATTGACCTTTGACCTCCAGAGGCAACGCAAGATAATCCCAACAAATAGAAAACCTCAAACAACTAAAAGTAAAAATTCAAAGTTGCTGTTGGTGTGCAGGTCTGAGTGCAGAGTTGATTTAGAGACAGTTTGTACTTGAACTTGATTAAAACTAAAAACGGCAAAGAGCCCAGAGTTCACCGCTGGACTCTTCTATCAAAAACTGAAGAAATCAGATTGTTTGCTGAAATGTTTGTGTTGATCTCTGCTTGGAATTTACAGAAAGTGTAGAAAAGCTGCAGGAAGCTGCTGGTTCACATCCAGATCCTCACTGTTCAGACGTTCGGTTTTCTAGATTGTTGCAGACATTTTTACCGCTGAAAGGTTCATGAAAGGTTTGGTCCAATAACCGGACACATCGAGTTCAGACTGTGTGCAGGAATTTGAGCCAAGAACCTTCTTGCTCCAAGGCACTGTGTCTCCACTGATCAGAACCAGTTTCATTTCACTTTATATTTTGGTCTCCAGTCAAATATGAGCATAAACTCACCTAAAATCAGAACATTAACATTTTGTTACCTGACAAAATGTTAAAAATCAAATCTGGATGTTTGTGTTTGGAAAATCAGCCAAGCTTCATTTTGGGTTCATTCAGTAAATGTGGATTCTGCCAATAGCTAAAGAACCCTAAACTTTTTTTATGGTCTACATTAAATCATACTGGAATTTATTTGAAAAGATTTCTGAATGTGGTGAACACTGAGATGTGACTTAATGTTTTAAAAACACAAATAACTGAACAAAGAAACATCTGGTTGTTCCACAAGGCAACGTCTTTGGTCTTCTTCCTTTTACTCAGCATTTCTACTGACATCATTGTGCAGCTGCTGCTGAAAGAGAATCAACATCACATTTTTACATTGAGGAGACAAAGTTTTCTTTATTCATCCTGTCTGAACTGGGATGTTAAAGAGTTCCACTAGTTGAGTTTCACATACGGTACAGGACATGGAAAATATTCTCTCATCATATATTAGCATCAAGTTTTTATGCATCTTATTCACCAGAGTTATTTTGGCAGCTGTTTCCATCCCACCATCAGCTGCACATGAATCATCAGTCAGTTGTTGCTAAACTACAGACACAACGTGTTTCTGACAATGTCTGGTGATCTGAATTATGTCTCACTCTCTGCTACACTTCCAACATGTTAACACTCAATCAGCTCTACTGCCAGATGAAACCAAACATCTGCAAACATCTCCACTGCAAGACCTCCCCTAACAAAATCAGATATTTTCTTTCTATTCTCTGCTGGGAATACAGAGACGCTATCCAGAGGCAATCTCTGAAGAAGAATACTGCGAGAAGACAATCACAGGAAGCAGAAGGAACCCTACTGGCTCCTTTTGAGGCCACTGATCGGATTGCTCTCTGCCAGCCTCATGGAGATGACATCAGATCCATGTCTGATATATGAACCTCTGCATCGCCACTACAGCAGCGAGAACAAACCCTGGATCAGCAGGGACCTGAAGGAACCAAAGAGCCTTTAGGGAACGAGATTGGGGAACAGAAGCAGCTGCAGTCCAGATTAGCCTCATCCTACCGAGAAGAATCTGGAGGACAAACTGCAGAGGAACCAAATCAGAGGATCTCAAGCTGCGAGCAGGAGGAGGACCAGATGGACGGATTGTTCCAGTGCTGTGGAAGACGTCCCGCAGTCTGAGTTCTGTCGTCTCCAGAAATACTCTGATTACATCACCCTTACTGCCAACAAGTGTTCAAGAGAAAGGTCAAAGGTCAAACCCTGTTTCCATCACAGCAGAGGATTATAGAACCCCCAGTGATCACCTACACAGGCTGGACTGGAGACAGAGAAGGGTCTATAGGAGGACCAGAACCAGAACCAGGACCAGATGAGGCTCAGCAACCTGATTAAGAACTCTGGTTCTGTTCTGGTTCTGTTTCATTTCATTTCTCTTTGGAATTAAAGGAATATTTTGGAGCTGAATTAAATCAGAGCTACTTTTCCAGTCAGTTTTCCCCCCACTATCAAAGTAAACAAAGCTTTATTGAACTCAATCCCGTGAACAGTCTCTTACACAAATCTGTGCTAAAATATGACAACTTTTAAAGCAACTTTGGTATCATTACCACAGTGTAATCAGTTCAATAAGCTTCACTGCTACATTGGCTACAAACACAGAATGGAACTTTTGTCACGTTATAAAGGAGTTATTAGAGAAAATAAAGCTGAATGCATCAGACTTTTTCTTGCTGGTCAATAACATCAATCATTAGATAAAAACACAAGAAGCATCAAGCAGACTGAAGTCAATGGATGAAGAAAACCTTAAAGTTCCCCTCGCTACAGTTTCTGCTAGTCGGAGCAACTCAGTATGAGCAAAGAGTTACTTTAGTTCAGGAAGAGACGATAAAGACCTAAATACAAGTGACGTGTCTGGAATGTCAGGAATAAATCCTCCATTTATCAGCTGAACAGTGGAAAGACTTTCCCGCCCATCACTCATGGATTCAGCGCCGAAACGCTTCCCTTCAAAACCAAACAGAACCAAACAGAACCAAACAGAACCAAACAGACGTTTCTTCTCTCCAGCAATAAGGGCTGCAGAGGAAGCTGCAACGCCCCCTGGTGGATGCTAGAGAGAACTGCTGGCTTGATTTGCAATTTGCAGATTGAAATGTGAGTTTCCAGAACGTTTCCAACGTGTGGACCAGGTTGCTCTTTTATGGGATGAACTAACTGGAGAACATTTTACAACATTTGGGCTTGATGCTTTCTGGAGGAATTCAATCTGCTTCAAGAGGAAAAGTCCAAAAACTTTGACCTGAAACTTGTCATTTAAACAACCAACTTAAGCAAGTTTTCTGTGAAAAATCTGCATGTCATTATCGATCAAGTTACAATTATTAAATGACTGTTTAAAAATTATATGCAAATCTAAAAATGCAGATTTATGATCCAGAATCCCCAGAACTGTAACAATTTGTGCTTGAGGACGGGAACGTTCTCCAATCATGAACTGATATTTACCTCAACTCTCCAGTCTCGGTGAAAGTTGCTCATATCTGTTGTTTGAGTTGGTCATCAGACAAGCTTCATGTTAACTGGAGAAACTTTGAAACTCTGCTTCTCATGTCAGATTAAGTTTTTGATAAAATTGTGATTAATATAAAAAGTCTCTAATTAGTGACATTTTCACCATTTTAATATCATGATAGTTTTCTGTAGGAATTCTCAGTCAGTCACACATCCAACACGTTGCTCTAATGCTAACTGTGGAATAAAAATGGATCATAGTTGTAGATCTGCAAAGCCCAGAGCTGAGTGACCTGCTGACCTCCAGGAACAATCAGTCTTTCCTCCACTCTGACGTCTGTGCAGCGTTGCCTCATGGAGACATCATGGATAGATGAAAGCAAGCCAGCAGGTTCCCACAGCATGCTGTGAGGTCACTTCCTGTTAGTCCTCAGGCCCTGGTAAATCTGGGGACAACCAGAACCAAAATGGCCGCCACAGCGATCGCCGCCACCGCCGTGTTCCAGCCTTCAGAGTGGCTTTTCTGGAAACAAAAGAAGAGAGTCATGTTACCCATCACTTCACGCTCCTGACAGCAGCTCTTCTGCTGAGTCGCTGTTGGTGAAAATAGATGATCCTGCAGAAATCAGACTGAGATGAACCAGTTTCTATGAAACCATGCTCAAATTTAGCAAGGAGACGATTCCTGCACTGAGTTCTCCATCCCAACAACCAATCACACACCTGGAGGTCATGACCACAACCAATGCAAAGTCCTGACAGCTTCACCAACATGGAGCCACAGTTACAATGGTGTTGTAACCTAAACATAAAATCAGTGATGCCAGTTCACCACAGCTTTATCTTCCCAGGTCAGAAGCTCCTCCAGAAGGTTCTGGATCTACCTGCCGTCGTAGTCAGAAGAACCGAACATCCAGTTGATGTGAACCATTCTCCTCTGCAGAGGAGGATGTGCTTGAAGGGCTGATTCCACCAACTAAAGACCACCACTGATCATGTCACACCTCTGAGCTCCATCCAGAAATGACATGATGATATGAAACCATTCTAATCTCTCAGCCATAGTGAGGAGCTCACTCTGTTCTTGATGCCCCATGAAGACTCTGCACCTTCCTCATGTGTCTGTTGGGTCTCTATCCAGAGTGAAGTCAGCCATCCCCAACTGAAGCTACTGACAAAAGACACTGATGGTGAAACTGTAATCTGCCTGCAACCCCATTTTACGAAAAGGTAGCATCAGAGTGCATACTTCAGTTTAATGGATGTTATCTTTGCTCTTGAAAAGCTCCTTCTGTCCTTTAACTGACTGGGGAACAAGGCTTTCCACTGGAAACGAGACACTGTGTTCTTCTTTATTCAGACTCATTTCTCATGGTATCAGTGCAGCCTTTGCTGAGCATGTCTGAATGACACACAGAGATCAGGAGCATCAGGTTTTATCTCCACTAGCTGCACTAAGGTGCTCTGAGAAGGTTCTCGTTTATCAGCCATTCTTGGTTGCAGAAAGAAGCAAAGCCATGGCCATACCTGGTCCCTTAGGACGCCAGCTCCTCCCACCAGCACCAAATCAACGCCACTATAACAATCAACCCTATGAAGGGGATGGAGAGGACGGGGGGCTCTGAAGGACGGGTGCAGTTCTGGGAAGAAGACAGGGTGGGGTGTAGAGGGAGGAGGGGAGAGGAGAAAATAAAAGCAGAAAATAATCTAAGTACTAATGTGAGAAGGTGTGACAGGGAGAATAAATAAAATGTGACTGGATGAACAGAAAGAGAGATTTAAAGACTGGTAGGTCGAGCATAACAGAATTTTATAGTTAACAGTATAAAATTCATATTAAACTGATCTGACGATGCTAAGTCGAACACATGCAGACAAACGGATGGACAAGACACAACTGAAGCATGCTCAAAGCAAAATGCTCAGCCAACATGCAAACGCTATGTCACTGTGATGACCTCTCTGTAGGGTCAGAGTGGGGTTATGAAGGGTTGGAGGGACGGGTTTACCCACCATGAGCCCCAGAGTTAGAGCAAAATGAGGGAACATTTCAATAAAGAAGGATGAAGGTGGAAAGAAGTTGCTATGTGAAACTCCCAAACCAAACCAAGAACAGGTCCAAGACCAAGAACCTGACCTTTGCTTTAGTTCAAAAGGTGCTTCATGTTTTACCTGCAGGGGGAGCCAAAGACATTCAATTACAGCTACATGTTCAATGCTATAACTAGCAGGCTGTAGCGATAGAATCCCTTCGTGTTTGATTTAGAACCGTCTGTCATGATGAACAACCTTGGGCAGGTACCTAGCTACCAGGGGTCAGCATTAGAGCTGATGAAGTCCTGTCCAATAGCTTTGATCAATCTCTGCACTGAGGTCAACAAGATAAGAAAAGGAAAGATCTACCAGAGGCAAAAACATCAACCTACACACCAAGATGTGAACCAAAGATGAGTGAAGGTCCAACTGTCAGTCATGAAACATTGAAATATTCATCACAGATGTAGACACCCCCGATCTGTTCACTGTTGATTGTCTTTCTGAGACAGATCCTATGAGCCATGACTGGCTAGGCATCAGCTTTCAGATTAAAACGATGGACTGGATGGTTCCACTCAGGGTCCTGATCCACCATAACAGAAAAGCAGTGTGACTGAACTCTCGTGAACATTCAAATCTCTCAGGCAATGATTGGTAGTGGGACTCTTAAAAACAGCTTTAGTGTCAGCTGGTCAAGTTCCTGAAACCATGAACATCTCACTGTGATCAGCCAGACCAGCTGGTGTCCAGGGTTAGGTTTGGACCCTACGATGGGTCAGAATTCAGTTTTTTTTCTAAATTGACTAAAGTGACTCGTCTGCTTCAGCCAGATCGAGTCTGAATCGATGGTTCTCCTCACTAGACTGAAGCACTGATGGAGCAGCAGGAACATCTGTCTCACATAAAGAAAATAAAGGGAGTTTCTATCAGATGTGGTGAAACAGGCTGCAGCAGCACCGGGGTCGCCTTTCAGCTGGAAGGCTGCTGGTTTGATCTTTTGCCTACCACAATCCCCATGCTCATGAGCCCTTGAGCAAACTTCTGGGTCATGTGACACCCTCTCTGTCACCATAAAACCGTTTCGGTTCAAGCTCACACCAACTTCAGTTTTAATACTTCAACCTCTTGAGACAGCTGAAGTCCTGGTGAGAGTCACATGTTTCCAGGTCAAAGTTCGTCCCAGCTTCAGCTCAGACTGCTGTTCATTTGAGGTTCAGCTACAAGGATGAGGAAGCGCCTGGGGTTCCTCACCAACATGTAGACGGACACATGGAGAAAACAAATGTTCTCAAAAATGTTAAGAAGCTTGCAACTAAAGGTTCAAAGGTCTGCTGCAGAGTTATCAGCCAGCATGCACACACATGGACAGTAGTCATCTGAGCTTTCACCTGACAGATCTTTGTTCTTACCTTGGAGGGAACCTGGTGTTCCTCACTGACTGCTTCAGACACCCTGAGCTGTCTGACTTTGAAAGCAGGACCACGCAGCTTCCACTGACCTTCTGACCTCTTACCTGCAACTTTCGTCCCAGCAGCTCCTGCAGCTCCGCCTTGCAGCTCTGCAGCTGCAGATGCAGAGCCGCTCGCTCCCGCTGGCTGCCTTCATGCAGCTGCTGCAGCTCCTCCAGCTCCTTCTTCAGACCTTCACACTGACACAGGGAACATCCACACCTGGTGTTGATCAGACAGCAGTGGCAGGCTGGTATTAATGACACCATAACTTACAACTGAGTTTAACCACCGGATAAAAAGCAACCAGCTGATCCCGAAAATAGCAAACATTTATAAAAATATACTGAAAGCCAGAGAGCAGGAAGCAACGGGAGCTAAACCCGATACCTCCAGCTGGACCTTGAGTGCCAACTCCTCTGCCATTCTCAGCTGGACCTTCAGGGTCCTGATTTCATCCTGGACCGCTGACGAGTCCAGACTCTGCAGTTCGGGTCTGGACTGGGACAGAGTGATGAAGGAAACCACCTTCAGCTGATCCTCATCCTCAGTTTGGCCCTCAGCTCTGACTTCCAGGTGCGAGTCATCACACCTGAGACAACCAGGGAAGAAGTGTGAGAACATTCAGCCGGATCCAGTCCTTCACCGCCTACCAGAACCAGCAGCAATGTTTGAGTCTTAGTGCTGCACATTGGTCCGGAACCACTCACATGTCTCGTTGCTGCAGCAGTTGCTCCAACTTGTTGCTCAATTCCCTGTTGTCGCTGCTCAGAGTCTGACGCTCATCAGTCAGAGAAATGAACTCTTGCTGCAGCTGAGTCACGTCACCTGAACACACCACAGCCATCAATCGGCAGATTCCTGACCAGTCCAGACATGAGGCTGCGTTGCTCGGTTACCTGAGCGGGCCGTGCGGCGGCTCTTCATGCTCAGCTCGGCTCTCAGCGAGGTGACCTCCAGCTCGTACTCGGCCGCCGTGGCGTGCAGGCGCTGCAGCTCCACCCGCAGGCGGCACAGCTCCTCCTGCAGGGAGGCGATGTCGTTCTCCCTCTCTGCCGCCGCCTCCTCGGCCGCCTGCTGCAGCACCAGCACCTCCTCCTGAGCCGAGCGCAGCTCCTGCTGGACCTCGGCCACCTCGCTCTCCTTCTCCTCCTCCAGGCTGCTCATCTCCTCCTGCGCCGACCGAAGCTGAGCTGCAACAACCAAACAGACAGAGACACGACTCGGGTCAGTCAGAGCCAAAAACCGGCCAGGCAGCGCCCACATGGTGAGAGGACCGGTCAGAACCGGGTCAGAACCAAACCCGGTCGGAACCCGGTTTCAGTCCAGCAGAGTCCTCCACCTTGCAGCCTCTGGATCTGCCGGGTGAAGCTCTCCGCCTGATGGGCGCTCGCCAGCCGCTCCTCATCCAGCAGACCTTTGGAGGACAAGCAGAGGGCAACTAGAGGTTGACGAGGTTTTAAAAAAGCACACGTTAAATATGGGTCAGTGGTGTTGCTGTGACAACAAGTGACCAATCCCGCAGCTTCTCACCTTGCAGCTCCGTGAAGCTCTCCTCGTGTCGCTGAGAAACTTCTCGAGTCTCATCCAGCTCCAGGAGAAGTTGCAGCACCTGAGCTCTAAGCTCCTCCAGCTCCTCCTCCTCTCCTGATCTTCATCTTCAGACTCCCTCTCCTTCACTTCCATCTCTTCCTCCTGCTGCCCCTTCTCTCCGTCTCCCTCAGGCTCCTCCTTCTCCTCCATGGACTCCCTCTCCTTGGCAGTCAAGGAATCGGCCAGCATGCCGGGTTTGTCCTCCTTCAGCTCACACAGCTCGTCTGCAGACAGTCACACACAGAGTTCCTGAGCTGCTGCAGCAGCTTCCTAAGGAGTGCGTCCTCTGGCTCCCTCTGGTGGTGAAAACTCAGTACCATCATCATCACCTTCATCATCATCATAATCACCTTCACCTTCATCATCATCATCATCATCATCTTCATTATCATCACCTTCATCATCAACATCATTATCATCACCATCATCATCACCTTCATCATCATCACCTTCATCATCATCATTCATCATCATCATCATCATCATCATCATCACCTTCATCATCATCATCATCTTCATTATCATCACCTTCATCATCAACATCATTATCATCATCATCATCATCATCATCTTCATTATCATCACCTTCATCATCAACATCATTATCATCATCATCATCACCTTCATCATCATCATAATGACCTTCACCTTCATCATCACCATCATCATCATCTTCATTATCATCACCATCATCATCATTATATCATCATCATCACCTTCATTATAATCATCATCATCATCATCATCATCATCATCACCTTCATCATCATCATCATCATCATCATCATCACCTTCATCATCATCACCTTCATCATCATCTTCATCATCATCATCATCATCACCTTCATCATCATGTTCATTATCATCACCTTCATCATCATCTTCATCATCATCATCATCATCATCATCACCTTCATCATCATCATAATCACCTTCACCTTCATCATCACCATCATCATCATCATCATCATCATCTTCATTATCATCACCTTCATCATCAACATCATTATCATCATCATCACCTTCATCATCATCATCATCACCTTCATCATCATCTTCATCATCATCACCTTCATCATCATCATCATCATCATCATCATCACCTTCATCATCATCATAATCACCTTCACCTTCATCATCACCATCATCATCATCATCATCATCATCATCTTCATTATCATCACCTTCATCATCAACATCATTATCATCATCATCACCTTCATCATCATCACCTTCATCATCATCACCTTTCATCATCATCATCTTCATTATCATCACCTTCATCATCATCATCACCTTCATCATCATCATCACCTTCATCATCATCATCTTCATCATCATCACCTTCATCATCATCATCATCACCTTCATCATCATCATCACCTTCATCATCATGTTCATTGTCATCACCTTCATCATCATCTTCATTATCATCACCTTCATCATCATCTTCATTATCATCAACATCATTATCATCATCATCACCTTCATCATCAACATCATTATCATCATCATCACCTTCATTATCATCACCTTCATCATCATTATCATCATCATCACCTTCATCATCATCATCATCAACATCATTATCATCACCTTCATCATCAACATCATTATCATCATCATCACCTTCATTATCATCATCACCTTCATCATCATCATCATCGTCATCACCTTCTTCATCATCATCATCACCACCGTCATCATCATTATCATCATCACCTTCATTATAATCATCATCAACTTCATTATCATCATCATCATCAACTTCATTATCATCATCATCATCAACTTCATTATCATCATCATCATCATCATCACCTTCATTACCATCATCATCACCTTCATCATCATCACCTTCGTTATTATCACCTTCATCATCATGTTGAGGAGGAAGGCTGTACAGTGTCTGGATGTTAGATGGAGGTTTGGGAGGCAGTGTCCATCACTGCTGGAATTGCGGTTCTGCAGGTGAATTCTGGAGAATTCACCTGCAGAACCGCATAGAGAACTCGTCCAGACTTGCAGCCACATAAACACTGACCGACAGAACCACCAGAACATCTTCATCACTGACCAGAGGGGTCCAACACCTCCTCGATGACGGGCGGCAGCCGGAAGCCGTCCATGATGGGACCGATGAGGAGGAGATGCTTCTGACAGAGTGTTGGAGGGAAGGTCGGGGGTCAGGTCACGCTCTGGACTGAGAGAGACGCAGTACCTTCTTCATCCTGCAGGGGCCTTGAGAAAACTGAGGAGGGAGGCAGAGACAGGAGATCAGAGACAGGAGGACGGTCTGATGTGCAGCATGGAGATCATTAAAGATTTGATTATTTTATGCATATTTTAATGGGTTTCCTGATCAAGTCTCAATCTGAACATCCAGAGCAAAAACACAGAAACAGATGAACATTTTTCATAAAATCAGATCTGGATCCTGACCTCTGACCTCCGGGCGTTCAACACTAACCCTCTGGTCCAGAGGAGACAACATCATTACTGTCATCATCTCTTTGACCAGAACCAGGTCCGGTGGGTCAACAGGAGGACTGGTTAACACCAGAACCAGAACATCCGGAACCAGAACCAGTCTAGAACCAGAACCAGAACATCCGGAACCAGAACCAGTCTAGAACCAGAACCAGAACATCCAGAACCAGAACCAGTCTAGAACCAGAACCAGAACATCCAGAACCAGAACATCCGGAACCAACCAGAAGTCTAGAACCAGAACAGAACCAGTCTAGAACCAGAACCAAAAAAAAGAACAAGAACCAGAACCAGTCTAGAACCAGAACCAGAACATCCGGAACCAGAACCAGTCTAGAACCAGAACCAGAACATCCAGAACCAGAACATCCAGAACCAGAACCAGTCTAGAACCAGAACCAGAACATCCGGAACCAGAACCAGTCTAGAACCAGAAGAACATCCAGAACCAGAACATCCAGAACCAGAACCAGTCTAGAACCAGAACCAGAACATCCGGAACCAGAACCAGTCTAGAACCAGAACATCCAGAACCAGAACCAGTCTAGAACCAGAACCAGAACATCCAGAACCAGAACATCCAGAACCAGAACATCCAGAACCAGAACATCCGGAACCAGAACCAGTCTAGAACCAGAACCAGAACATCAACCAGAACCAGAGAACCAGAACATCCAGAACCAGAACCAGTCTAGAACCAGAACCAGAACATCCGAACCAGAACATCCGAACCAGAACCAGTCTAGAACCAGAACCAGAACATCCGGAACCAGAACCAGTCTAGAACCAGAACCAGTCTAGAACAGAACCAGAACATCCGGAACCAGAACCAGTCTAGAACCAGAACCAGTCTAGAACCAGAACCAGAACATCCAGAACCAGAACCAGTCTAGAACCAGAACCAGAACATCCAGAACCAGAACCAGTCTAGAACCAGAACCAGAACCAGTCTAGAACCAGAACCAGTCTAGAACCAGAACCAGAACATCCGGAACCAGAACCAGTCTAGAACCAGAACCAGTCTAGAACCAGAACCAGAACATCCAGAACCAGAACATCCAGAACCAGAACCAGTCTAGAACCAGAACCAGTCTAGAACCAGAACCAGTCTAGAACCAGAACCAGTCTAGAACCAGAAGAACATCAGAACCAGTCTAGAACCAGAACCAGTCTAGAACCAGAACCAGTCTAGAACCAGAACCAGAACATCCGGAACCAGAACCAGTCTAGAACCAGAACCAGTCTAGAACCAGAACCAGAACATCCGGAACCAGAACCAGTCTAGAACCAGAACCAGAACATCCGGAACCAGAACCAGTCTAGAACCAGAACCAGTCTAGAACCAGAACCAGAACATCCAGAACCAGAACCAGTCTAGAACCAGAACCAGTCTAGAACCAGAACCAGAACATCCAGAACCAGAACCAGTCTAGAACCAGAACCAGTCTAGAACCAGAACCAGTCTAGAACCAGAACCAGAACATCCAGAACCAGAACAGTCTAGAACCAGAACCAGTCTAGAACCTGAACCAGTCTAGAACCAGAACCAGTCTAGAACCAGAACCAGAACATCCGAACCAGAACCAGTCTAGAACCAGAACCAGTCTAGAACCAGAACCAGTCTAGAACCAGAACCAGAACATCCGGAACCAGAACCAGTCTAGAACCAGAACCAGAACATCCGGAACCAGAACCAGTCTAGAACCAGAACCAGTCTAGAACCGGAACCAGTCTAGAAGCAGAACCAGTCTAGAACCAGAACCAGAACATCCGGAACCAGAACCAGTCTAGAACCAGAACATCCAGAACCAGAACCAGTCTAGAACCAGAACCAGAACATCCAGAACCAGAACATCCGGAACCAGAACCAGTCTAGAACCAGAACCAGAACATCCGGAACCAGAACCAGTCTAGAACCAGAACCAGAACATCCAGAACCAGAACCAGTCTAGAACCAGAACCAGAACATCCGGAACCAGAACCAGTCTAGAACCAGAACCAGAACATCCGGAACCAGAACCAGTCTAGAACCAGAACCAGTCTAGAACCAGAACCAGAACATCCGGAACCAGAACCAGTCTAGAACCAGAACCAGTCTAGAACCAGAACCAGAACATCTGGAACCAGAACCAGTCTAGAACCAGAACCAGAACATCCAGAACCAGAACCAGTCTAGAACCAGAACCAGTCTAGAACCAGAACCAGTCTAGAACCAGAACCAGAACATCCGGAACCAGAACCAGTCTAGAACCAGAACCAGTCTAGAACCAGAACCAGTCTAGAACCAGAACCAGTCTAGAACCAGAACCAGAACATCCGGAACCAGAACCAGTCTAGAACCAGAACCAGTCTCAGAACCAGAACCAGTCTAGAACCAGAACCAGAACATCCAGAACCAGAACCAGTCTAGAACCAGAACCAGTCTAGAACCAGAACCAGTCTAGAACCAGAACCAGAACATCCGGAACCAGAACCAGTCTAGAACCAGAACCAGTCTAGAACCAGAACCAGTCTAGAACCAGAACCAGAACATCCGGAACCAGAACCAGTCTAGAACCAGAACCAGTCTAGAACCAGAACCAGTCTAGAACCAGAACCAGAACATCCGGAACCAGAACCAGTCTAGAACCAGAACATCCCGTTTATCTTGTTTTTCTGTTTTCATTGTTTCACTTTCATCATCATAAATGTTGAACTGTTCCTTTAAAGTGCAGCAGCTGCATCAGGCGATGAAGACGTACCTGATGAAGATCTGCTGCTTTCTGCTTCTCTCTGGATTACTGCAGTCCTCTTCCTCCTCCTCCTCTTCCTCGGTGTCCTATATTTCCCCCTCAGTGTCCGCTCCGCCTGCGATGCCGACTGACGTCACTCGATGCTTCCGCCGCTCATGACGGGAATACAGAGCAAGACGCGACATTTAACCATTTCCTGCCAGGAACTCCTCTTCCTCTTCTCCCTCCTCTTCCTCCAAGCGTCCCGATCAGCCGAGGTGAAGAATTGCTGCAGGAGAGCCAGACAAGAGAACGAGACCCGAGACCCGGTTCAGAGATGCTCGGTGTCCATCGCTGCCTCCATCCGTCTAGGCAACGGTTGCTAAGCAACAGACTTCCAGGCTGAGAAACAGAGGAAGAGTCGGATCGGTCTGGGTTCTTCAGGTCCATCAAGACTCTCCAGAACCTCCTGTGATCTGGTCCAGTTCTTCTCTGCAGCCTCTAATGCAGGAAGTCGAGTCCAAATTCCAGACTAAAATCAGGCAGGATTAGTGAAAAATGGCGACATGTTTGCTGCTTCCAGGAAGATGCTGATCTAGAGAATCACATCATCCTGCTGGGAACCTCCTGCTGGGAACTTCCTGCTGGGAACTTCCTGCTGGGAACTTCCTGCTGGGAACTTCCTACTGGGAACTTCCTACTGGGAACCTCCTGCTGTTAACTTCCTGCTGGGAACTTTCTGCTGGGAACCTACTGCTGGGAACTTCCTGCTGGGAACCTCCTGCTGGGAACTTCCTGCTGGGAACCTCCTGCTGTTAACTTCCTGCTGGGAACTTCCTGCTGGGAACCTCCTGCTGGGAACCTACTGCTGGGAACTTCCTGCTGGGCACCTCCTGCTGGGAACTTCCTGCTGGGAACTTCCTGCTGGGAACCTCCTGCTGGAAACTTCCTGCTGGGAACCTCCTGCTGGGAACTTCCTACTGGGAACCTCCTGCTGGGAACCTCCTGCTGGGAACTTCCTGCTGGGAACCTCCTGCTGGGAACCTCCTGCTGGGAACCTCCTGCTGGGAACTTCCTACTGGGAACCTCCTGCTGGGAACCTCCTGCTGGGAACTTCCTGCTGGGAACCTCCTGCTGGGAACCTCCTGCTGGGAACTTCCTGCTGGGAACTTCCTGCTGGGAACCTCCTGCTGTTAACTTCCTGCTGGGAACTTTCTGCTGGGAACCTACTGCTGGGAACTTCCTGCTGGGAACCTCCTGCTGGGAACTTCCTGCTGGGAACCTCCTGCTGTTAACTTCCTGCTGGGAACTTCCTGCTGGGAACCTCCTGCTGGGAACCTACTGCTGGGAACTTCCTGCTGGGCACCTCCTGCTGGGAACTTCCTGCTGGGAACTTCCTGCTGGGAACCTCCTGCTGGAAACTTCCTGCTGGGAACTCCTGCTAGGAACTTCCTACTGGGAACCTCCTGCTGGGAACCTCCTGCTGGGAACTTCCTGCTGGGAACCTCCTGCTGGGAACCTCCTGCTGGGAACCTCCTGCTGGGAACTTCCTACTGGGAACCTCCTGCTGGGAACCTCCTGCTGGGAACTTCCTGCTGGGAACCTCCTGCTGGGAACCTCCTGCTGGGAACCTCCTGCTGGGAACCTCCTGCTGGGAACCTGCTGGGAACTTTCTGCTGGGAACTTCCTGCTGGGAACTTCCTGCTGGCAACCTCCTGCTGGGAACCTCCTGCTGGGAACTTCCTGCTGGGAACCTCCTGCTGTTAACTTCCTGCTGGGAACTTCCTGCTGGGAACCTCCTGCTGGGAACCTACTGCTGGGAACTTCCTGCTGGGCACCTCCTGCTGGGAACTTCCTGCTGGGAACTTCCTGCTGGGAACCTCCTGCTGGAAACTTCCTGCTGGGAACCTCCTGCTGGGAACTTCCTA